CTTCTCTCTTCTTTTATTTTTATTTTTTGTGAGACACTTGCGGCTGGAAATGACTAAAAAATTTCTCAAAAAAACTAAGAGTGTCTATATCAATCGGAAGCGCCGGTTACGGATCAAACGAGGCCTTCCCCCTGAGACAGAGGGGAGGGTTGAGGAATAAGAATCGTATCTCCGGGGGTACCGTGCAGAAACCGGGACTTGACAGTAAAACTAGCGTAGTGATGAGGGTTGATAAGCCAGGTGGGGAATATGAGAAGGGAAAAGGTTCTTTGACAAGGACAATAGAAGGAGGGGAACAAACGCAAGGAGATGACGGGGTGAAGTTAAAAGAAATTCGAATACTTGGGAGTGGGTGAGGAGAAAGAATGAAAGATGATCAAGATGTCTGTAATTATGGAAAGGAGAGGAACTACCGCATTGACACAGATAATACTAAGAATAACGCCCTGGGAAGAACGTTGTCGACTTGGCCTAAGGCGTTCACAATATGCCATTCCCCATAATAAGGCTGTTGTCCGCGCGGCGACTCCGGATCGGTCAACCAGTCGCGTGCGCGGGTCATTGCGTAAGGTGTCCACCATTCTGACTAGAAACGGTCTTAATGGCCGAAAAGCTCTTGCAGGTTCTTCTTGACGGTTTCTTTTGCATAACGCATTGATGACTAAGTTCATAGGATTTCCAGTGGATAACTACTTTGTGCATACTTCCTAGTTCAGGTTAGGGAGTTGTTCTCGCCATGGACGTTCAGTTGCAGACGGGGAATACTCCGTCCAGTGTGGATGCTAGGTGGATTTTAAATGGTGATTGTTGATAGGCGCCACTTTGATCTGTATGTATCTTCCGAGGGGACTTGGGTCAGTGCTTCGATAGTTAAGTACCGATGTGAGTCTTTCGCTTTGAAGATGTCTATTAACATTCATGAACCATAGACGATTGAATCTTTAGAATTGTAAGCTCAAGTGCGAGAGATAGCTACGATAAGAGTAGTAGTTATCGCCAGGTGACGCCTCATTATACTAGTGAACTCTCACATAAGGTACAGCTGCTGTTCGAGTCAAGAAGAACTATGAGATGAATGTACACAAGGAGGTGTATTTCCTCCGTAGTATTTTATATCCCACAGCCTGGACAGATGTACATGACTCGGAGATGATCTTGAATCCTTTTTGAGTCTGGAAAATTCCCAAAAGGGGAAGCGGCTGACATAAGAAGCCCTACTTCGCGGCGCTAACCCCGAATGGGGATGGTGGATGTTAGTCAGCCGCCCACAGAGGGAAATCTCGCTACACCACAGCGGCCAAAAATCCCAAGTACTGAACCTCCGACGACCTAACCTCCTCGACCTGTCGACAATACCCGCGCCCTCCGTCTTGACCGCGCAGCTCCGTCAAGATGAAGCTCAACATCTCTTACCCGGCCAATGGGTCGCAGAAGATCATCGAGGTTGACGATGAGCGCAAGCTCCGTCCCTTCATGGAGAAGCGCATGGGAACCGAAGTCAGCAACCCTATCTCCCTATTTTGAACCACGCCCCTTCGATCTGCAACTTGAACATTCAACACGCGAAGATTTTGGAAGCAAGAAGACTGATTGGGGAATATCTACAGATTGCCGGCGACTCCCTTGGTGATGAGTTCAAGGGTTACCTTTTCAAGATCACCGGTGGTAACGACAAGCAAGGTAGGACTGGAATATTTTTCTTTATCTATAAAGATCTTCCTTGATTGTGGGATTTGTGTGGGGTGGAAGGAAAGACAGGAATTGCGGGACAAGCCTGAGCCAAAATGCTGACATGTACTCTTACCAGGTTTCCCCATGAAGCAGGGTGGTATGTAACCAACCGATATCAAACGCTCAGCAATCACCAGCAGGAAAACTCATCGAATCTATACAGTTCTCCTTCCCACCCGTACCCGTCTCCTCCTCGCCGATGGCCACAGCTGCTACCGCCCCCGCCGCACCGGTGAGCGTAAGCGCAAGTCTGTCCGTGGTGGTATGTTTTGAAAATGAGAAATTTTGTTGCTCCTGTGCGCATAGTTCGTTTGTTGACGACTTCCCACAGCCATCACCAACTTCGATCTCGCTGTCCTGGCCCTGAGCATCGTCAAGCAGGGTGAGGGTGAGCTGCCCGGTCTCACCGACACTGTCGTCCCCAAGAGACTCGGCCCCAAGCGTGCCACCAAGATCCGCCGTTTCTTCGGTCTCGACAAGAAGGACGACGTCCGCAAGTTCGTCATCCGCCGTACCGTCACCAAGGAGGGCAAGCCCGAGTACACCAAGGCCCCCAAGATCCAGCGTCTGGTTACTCCCCAGCGTCTCCAGCGCAAGCGTCACAGGATCGCCCTCAAGCGCCGCCGCTCTGAGGCTGCTCGCGAGGCTGCGTAAGCTCCCTTGTTCTTCCAAGTTCATATCCTCATCCGGGTTTACTAATTGCTGCGAAACAGTAACGACTACGCTAAGCTCCTTGCCACCCGTGTCCACGAGGAGAAGGCCAAGCGTGATGAGCTCCGCAAGCGGAGGGCCTCTTCTATGAGGAAGTAAATGCATCTTCTCCGGGGTTAATGGTCGGGTTACGTCTCTATTATGGCTAGGGAAAAATCTCAGCGGACGAGGAAAGGGGGCTATCGAGGTGCAAAGCAGGGGTGTAACCCAAGAGAACAGAATATATTCCTTGGGGAACATGCGTCTGCGGGACCGAGGCTTTAGCGTGCTACCTTTTTCTTTTTAAAAAGCCATATCCACAGCTGGAATGAAAGGGAAAAAATGTGAAAGAAGTTTTCTTGTTCTCGGATCCACATTGCACGGTAACAGGGTAACGGTTCCGCGGGCTGCTAGCACTGCTTGATAAATGAATGAAGCTCGATGTTTTTTGTACTCACAATTGCAAATCCCAGTTTGTTTTCTGTTTCCTCTCAGAGGCTGTCTTTCCAGTATCACCTAGTAGTAGTATCATCGCCGACTCTTGTTAAGCATAAGGAGTACGTACCTAACGAGCGACGAATGATAGTGGAGTCTTGCACTATTGCATAGTGCACTGAAGCAATAACCCAAACAATCTTCCAAGCCGTGAACAGTAACATTAGCAAGCAACGTGAGCCAAACTGTCAGATTCTCAGATTTCCTCTATCCATGATAAACAAAAAGAAAAGAACAAGAAAAACTCCTTCAGTACGTGTATATGTACAAATGCATAATTCAATTCATCGTAGGCGCCGCAAACTTTTTCGGAATTTACCATCCCTTTTCCACCCATTGTTCGTGCATGCATCATGGCCTTATTCGTGTTATGATGGTTATCAGAGTATAGATTTCTTCGTCTCAAACCAGAAAACAGAGGATCCATGGCCAGCGGAAAAACTGCAAATTTCAAAGCCTTCAGCATTTGAAATTCAACTCGAAGAACCAAGGAACGTTCTCTTTACTCTGTCCCAGTGAAAGATCTCTTTCGATCATCCCTACCCCACTGTAGCAATTTAAGCGACAGCGTGGGAGAACAAGAAACTCACAGACTCGCCGTTATGCGTACGTCTGCAGGCCTCGGCAAGAGTAGGGCTGATATCGATAGTCTCGATCTTGTCGCACTGCTCTTTCTTCTCTTTGTGAGGAACAGTGTTGGTAACCACAACACGCTTGAGGCAGCTCTTGTTGATGTTTTCGATGGCCTTGCCGGAGAGGATACCGTGAACGACGATCGCGTTCACCTCCTTGGCTCCGTGCTGCATTACAGTATCGGCAGCCTTGGCCAGAGTTCCACATGTGTCGGCCATGTCATCCACGATGATGGCGACCTTATCCTGAACATTGCCGACGAGAACCATGCGGGAGACCTCGTTCGGGCGAGGGCGTTCTTTGTGGATAAGTGCGAATTGCAAGTCGAGACGGTCAGCGATAGCAGTGGCACTGGCAACGGGCATAAATCAACACTGAACTTGACAATGACCATGATTTAAAAAGAGTAATATAAAAATGCAGCTGACTTACCGCTTCGCACCACCAGCATCTGGACTGACGATGATACAGTTGCTCACATCCAGGTTCTCCCGGATCCACTTGAGAATACTGGGTTCAGCGTACAGGTTGTCCACCGGAACGTTGAAAAAGCCTTGGATCTGGCTGGCGTGAAGGTCCATGGTGATCACATGATTGCAGCCAGCAGTCTGGAGCATGTTCGCCATGAGTTTTGCAGTGATAGGCGCACGGCTCTTGTCCTTCTTATCTTGACGAGCATAGGGGAAATTGGGGATCACAGCTGTGATACGTCTCGCAGAAGCTGTCTTGCAAGCATTGATCATAATGAGCAGCTCCATCAAACCGTCATTTATGTCGTTGGGCTTAGTAGACTGCAGAATGAAAACATCCTCATCTCGTACGCTTTCACCAATGGTCACGCTCGTCTCCTGGTTGGAGTATTGAAGGACCATGATCTTGGTCAGTTCGATGCCGAGGCTGATGGGACAAGTAAGGAGTCATTAGCCAAAGAAAAACAGCACAACATGTGAAAGCTTATTCAATGACAACGGATCGCGTACCGATCAGCCACAAGATTCGCAAGCTCAGGGTGACTGTTACCAGTCAAAAGCTTGATGGAGTTGGCAGCCATGGTGTCTCGAAGTCAATTGTCGACTGGGTACAGATTATGTGTGAGTCAAAGAAAATAGGTTTGTGTAGACCAAAATCGGTGAATACAACAACTGAAGAGTTCTAAGGACTGAGGAGAATCAAACCCCAGAGTCGAACAAAAGGTGATATGATATGCCCCGCGGCAACTTTTTTTCCCCAGCGGAAAAATCACTGCGTCCCGTGACCCCCCGGGCTCGCTGCTGCTCACCGCCTACGAGCTTGTGATCGAGAACATGATTGAAATATGCGGTAAGTTATTGGGAGATCTAGAAGAAAGAAGGAACAAAAGAACATAACCCTAAATACATGTGAAGAAAATGAGCTAATTTATTTTTCACAAATCCAAATCGCTCTATTCCTGGTACACTAGTTGACCTGCACTTCAACCAGCTTCCAGTCGCGGTCTGAGATTTTCCTCCCCTTCGTAATACATGATCGGTCCCAGTAGCAATACAGACTAGGAAAGAAGACAACAAGGAATAGTGTAGCTGAACGCCGCCAAATGCTCAAGCATTAGAACAGGGGTGTTGAGAAACGAGGAAAGATGCAAGGAATCGTGTAAAACCAGCAATTATCGCCCAAGCTGTCTTGAAGAGAGCACCGCCACCAATCTATGCGAACCCGAAGTATTCGCTACCAGCTGTCATGGCAGTATACAGCCGTTGTCTCAGAGTCTCATAACTTTCGTATTCCGGGAGATCAAGCTCTGCGCCGTATGATTAGTAACCTGTAATATTGAATTCGATAGTGGCAAATCAAAGAAGAAAAAAACTTACGGTTGAAACATGTGTGCGCGCTTGGGAGGCGATCCTTATTGCCATAATCGCGATGAATGTTGAATCGACTAACTCCATTCATACCTTCAAGCTCCTTGAAACCATTGAGTGGCACCTTACTTGTTCCGGTGACAAATTGCAGCAGCTTAGCCCGCTCTTCTTTGTCAAATGAGCGAACGGCACGCCAGAACCATTGGATTTGAGGCGACGAGGCCGAATAGTTATGATACTCGGTATTGGCCTTCCAGTCGTCCACATCAATCTCGGGAAGACCGGAAATCAACAACTCAAGTTCTTGCTCGTTGAAAATCGAGATCAGATCTGCTGGGATGATCTCATGGAACCCTATAAACCATTGTTAGCTGATATTCTAGATGATCTGTATGAAGAGCGTGACATACCTTTGAGGAAATTGTCGAGCTGCTCCTTGACCGATCGCACGAGACGATAATCCACGACACGCTGCACGTACTCCTCCTTGTTTTCTTGAGTGACCGGAATGTTGCTTCCATTTTCTATAAGATCAATCACTTGCTTCTCACCAAAGTCATCAGTCTCCACGGCGAAAGTTTCGGTGATAATGTCAGTGATATCGTTCTCGAGCATCCAGAGGAGAGATTTGTAGTAGTCGAGATCAAGTGTCTCCATATCCTTGATAGATACCGAACGTCCAAGAATACACTTGTAGACAGCGCGGCTGAAGTGGCAATCGAGCACCCGGCCTTCGTACAGAGCCTTGCCAATGATTCGTCCAATGAACTTAAAGAACATAAGATGCTCCGAGTTGACACCGCTTAGGCGATTAGGGTGGAAGGTGGTCCGGTCGGCAGCAACAGGAATAAACAAGGCATAGTTCGGGTTGAACATGCCGCGTGCGAGAACTTGGAACCATTCTCTGGTCACGCCTCCCGCGTCAACACCCTCTTCACCGTGGAAGCGCACATTCAATTTGCCGTACTTCAGCTCATCTGCCGTCTTGAAGTATAGGGATTTGAACGAGTCAAGGAACACTTGATCTCTCCTGACAGAGAGTTGAAGGGGAGGGTGAGGATGACGAGGCTCTGCACCACGGGAATGGATACGACGGGTGAAGTAATTGCGCTTGTTATCGAACTCCAAGACCTTCGGATTCTTGACAAGTAAGGAGAAAGTGCCGCTCATCAACCTTGGGTTTTGACGAACAAGTTCGTTTAGTATCTTGCGATGTTCCTCTGTGAACTTGAAGAAGAGACCCTCCATATTCAAACCAGCGCCGACAGACAGCTCTCGAGTGTTCCGAGAAAGAGAAGTCTCTTTCAGCGAGGTGTTCTTGCAGACGACCATCAATGCTTCGATCAGGGGCAAGAGGATTGTTGCGACATTCAGCATATTCTCCTTCTGCCGTATAAGTGTCAAGCATTCACTCAGTCTTGTCCACAGAGGACCGAATGTAGAACTTTCGTACAAGGTCTGTAGGACGTCTTCCTTAGCTGCCTGCTCGGAATCACCTCCCTTGGCCTTCTCCGATCGGCTGGGATCAAACAAGTAGTCAAGTGCCGTCAACACACGTAACAATTTCGCTTGGTCAGAGCTAGCTGGCGAGAATTTAGCCAGAGCAAGGCCCTGCATGTCGGTGCCAGTCCGGGCTTGATTAATATGAGACAATAATTCATCCAGGTCCGTTAAGATAGTAGTGCTCAAGTCCTGCGCCTGATGGACTAATTCATTACCAATTACATCCCTGGCTTTAGGGATGGCTGAAAGATTGTTAATTGTCGAGAGCGTTTCCCTAAAGGTTTTCCCGTTGCACTCGCGAGCGGCAAGTATGTGGACAACAAGCTGCAGATTGTGGTCTGGAACAACAGGAGGTTCTATAGACTTCTTTTTATGTTTCTCCTCTTCGCTCGAGCCCTTTCCTGTCTCTGATTTAGAGGTTTCTGCTGATATGCCCTCCTCGGGCTGCGCCGTTGTGCTTTGTGCTTCGGCGTTCTCTACACTGGGCAGAGGAGCATCTGTCATCGTTGTATCTGTAGCAGATGTAGGTTCTGCAGCATCGGACGGTTGCTCCTGTAGTTCCTGTTGCTGCTCCTCAGCCGGCCTATCATCCTGTGCTGTCTCAGGCTTTTTGCCCTTGTCTTCTTCATCTTGCTTCTCCTTCTCACGACGAAGTAGCAGGGTGAGTGGCTGTGTGATGCTGCTGAGGAGGCTAGAAAGCTGCTCCATGCAATTCGGGCTTTCCATTATCAATTTTCGATCAAGGAGAGTAAGGAGCGCATTAAGCGCGAACTTATTGGCCTTGTTTTCCTTACCCTTACCTTTGCGGAAGGCCTTCAACTTCAATGTAGATGAAGGATCATGCTCAGTCAAGAAAAACCAGGAGATATGAGGGTTGTACTGAGACAGGAACGAAAGAGTCCCGAGACATTGTTGCACCACCATTACTGGGGTCACTTCATTGCTAACACTTGAAGAGGTTTGGAAGGCCAGATTGCGCTTGACAGACTGCGGGGTCTTCTGGATCGCGGAAGGTTTGGCCCGGAGCGAAAGTTGAGCAAAACTGCGCTCGATTGCAGAAACATCTGAGCTTCCGTCCTGCAAGACAGAAAGCAGAAGACTTATCACTTCAACTCGATTCTGGCGGTTTTCACAAACGTTATGCAGAATGTCATTCAACTGATGGCGTGCATTGCCCTGAAGTGGCATAAACATAAGGCGGAGCAACGTAGCAACACCGGCTTTGTCAAGCATTTGGACGATCTGACGCCGCTGTTGCTTCTTCGGCTCTTGTTCGTCGGTTGGCTCATTTCTTTGCCGATGATCAACTCTAGCAATGTCACCAAACTGGGTCAAGCGCCTTCCAGGGAGAGCTCGTGCTTCGGTGACAAATTCTGGCCCCAGCGTTGCTAGTATCTCCTCAGGTTGGTCAGCAAGTACGGCTTGTCGCAATGAAGGGTCCAGGGTGGCAAGGAAACTAGCGGCATCCATGTCTTCGGCGCGTGGAGGAGCGCCACTAGTGGTTGTTTGTCTGCGTGCACTTTCTCGCTCCCGACGGCGACGGTCGGCAGCTTCCTGCTGTAATAGCTCTTCCCGAATCTCTGGGGGCAAGGCTTCCAGGAACTCCGGGTTAATCTCACTGGGCTCTTCGCCAGCTGCAGCAGCCTGGGAGCGTTGCTCTGCAAGTTGTTGCATGATTACTTCTTCTCTAAGCTCCTCGGGCAGGGCCTCAAGGTACTCAGGGTCGATTTCCATTCCAGTAATGTCAAGTTCGCGACCTCTAATAGTAGTATGCACCCGAGGTTGAGGTTCAGACGGCCCCGTTTCTGCTTGGGCTGATAGTGTTGCAGCTTCAGCTTGGGTATCTGTCGGCTGCACATCGTCCATGGGCTCAGAAATAACACCCGAGGCTTGCCTTTCAGTTTCTTCATGCTCCCTTTCTTGCTGTCGCCTAGCATTTTCTTCCTCTTCTTTCCGCTTCTGCTCTTTTTCTTCTTCTTCCTGAGCAATACGTTCCTGACGTTCCCTTTCAGCTAATTCTTCCTCTCGTCGCTTAAGCTCCTCTGCCATCTTCTTCTCTCGCTCCTTCTCTTCTTCAATAGCAGGAGGAACCAGTATCTTCAGCAACGAGTTGACAACACGCTGCGTCTTTTCAACGTATGTGCTGCTAAACAATATACGGGCCTCTTCCTGCCAGCGACTTCTAGTCGTTGCTAACGCAAAGCTCACAGCTTGAGACGGATCATCCCGAGTGCGAGATGGGGGTGCTTGCGGCCTACCAAGCCCAAAAATATCTTGAATACGGTTGGGCAGAATAGCTCGTCTGTCAACATGAACATGAATTCCGTCTGGGCGTGTGATAACGCCAAAGCCTGGAGTACCTTGGCCTCCAATGGCCTGCATAATCGCGTTCATGAAGCTCACAGGGCTGTCCATAGGGAGCAGGCGTCCAGTGGAAACGGGTTCCATGCCATGAACCCAATCGGTAAAAGCTTCATTGCCAGGTCCACGAGATTGGCCAGCCTCGGGGCCACGGTCTGTCCGGACAAGAAGAGGGTTTGTCCCATCGTCATTACCACGGGCAGGGATCTGAGTTCGGTGGAATCGGTAGGGTTGAATAGGAACGATTCCATGCCGGCCGCTACTGGGCATTATGCCTGTAACCGCAGCCCATCCTGGCTGACCACGGTAGCGGTGATGATGATGTCCACGGGGTAGTGGAGGCTCATCGCCATCCCAGCCCCATGGTTCAATGAGGTCTTCATCTATACAGGATATTCAGCACGCCTCGTTTCACGTTAGAGTAGATAGATGCAACTCACCATCGTCAAAGCCTTGATAAGATCCTTGATCTTCGTCGGCATCTTCAAGTTCCTCCTCAAGCTCATCGATTTCCTCATCTTCTTAGTGAACGTTAGTAATCTAAATCATGCATAGAACAATACTAGACGATACTGACCATCATCATCATTCAAGTCATCATCAACAATGTCATCAAGACTGTCAGGAGCCTGAAGATCCTCAACACCTCCGGCAGCTTCATTGAGTACCCGGAACAAATCATCAAATCTTTGTCCTTCATCACGCTGATCCGCTTGTCTAATTCCAGCCAGTTCGTCCTCGAACTGATTCATGATTTCAGCCTCCTCATCATCTTCGGACATCTCTTCGCTCTCCCATTCATCATCATCACCTTCCTCTAAACTCTCGTTGTCTTGGTCCCCTGTTATCTCTCCGGCGAGGATCTCGTCGTCCTCCATATCGGAGTCATCTTCATCTTCGTCATCATCCTCGTCATCATCATCGTCATCATCATCAATGACAACCTCAATGTCCATGCCGGAATCGCCAGGAAGGCCCTCAATGGGACCAACACCTTCAATCTCGTCTTCTTCGTCGCTTACGACTTCGCCATCATCTTCGGGCAAGTCTTCTTCATAATCCATTTCGTCTTCGTATTCATCGTCATACATCCCATCATCTTCTTCATCCGATTCTTCGGAGCTAGTTTCTTCTTCATGGCGAGGCTCTAACATACCCAGGGTGGAATGGCGGAAAAGGTCAGGGGTCTCTTCACGGTCATCTTCCAGGTCAGAAACTGAGGTGGCAGAGGATATTTCATCTTCCTCTGTTTCTCCGAGAGTAGAGATGTCGGACGTCTCACTCAAGATCACTGCCGTTTGCGTAAGTTTGTTAAGGGGACGCAGTATGTACTTGATGACCCGTTTAGATGCAGGGAAATTCAGATCGATCTCAGCGACCGAGGATGTAAGAGCGGCGATGAAATTCTTTTCAAACATCGTTTTTGCAAGCTGCCTAGTCGAGGATGGGAATGCAGTATCTCCGGAAACGAAAGCATAACCACTAAGCATTTTGTCAAATAAATCGGCCAGTGACATCAATCTAGAATACTTGGCATCCAAAGGCTCGTTTGACGCATTTGCCTCTTTGTATGCTCGCAGTGCATGCTCTAGAACGAACCTCCGCACAAAGGCAAGCTCGGGCTCATCTTCTTCATTCGAGTTTTGCTCGCTTCGGCGTCTGCCAGTCCCGCCAAACTCACCGGTCTTCGTGCACAACGCTACAAGCACACGCATCGTCCAAGCCGATGTGTTGGCGCGCTTCTTGAACGCAACAGACTCATCATGCTCCATGGTACCAATTGGGACAAGAGCATTCAGTAGGTAATTCAAAATACCCGCTCGAGGCTTGGAAGGAGTAGTTGCAAGCGGATCTGCTTTGCGAGAGAAGTTGATAAACTCCACCTTCGTGCGGTTATACGACGAAAGAAGCTCAGTCAAGCATTGAAGGAGGAAGCAGCGGTATATATAGATCGGGTGGTCATCTGCTTTGAAGGACGGTTTCTCTGCTTTCTTAGTATTACGTGTAGCATGCAAGTCAGTGGTAGAAACAGAGGGTGAAGGTTCATCAGTCGCCATTTCCACATCAGTTTGGGCTTCTGATTGTTCAGGCGCAGATGCTTCCGTAGCCTCTGTCGAAGGCTCCTTGTCGTCTACATCCTTGTAGGATAGAAGCTCCGAAAGCAGGTAGTGGATGACGCCATCAGGATTCTCTACAACAGGCGGCCTCAACTCTGGCCCTTTGCCTTTGTCTTTATCCTCTGGCTGAGCATCGGCTGAAGTCTGGCTACCATCCATCGTGTTTTCTGTAATGTCCTGGGCCGCTTCTTTGTCTGAGGAGCCAGTATTCTTGTCAGACTTCAAGGTGAGAACCTGTGGGCGTTGCCGGCTATCGTATCGCTGCAGCTTCAGTTTTTCGTTGGAGACTTCCACGAACAGTTCCGGTGACCTAAGGACGAGGTGATACATCTGCCGCACATAACCGGTCGTGTCGATCTGGCGAGAAGATTTCGATTCAAAATTCGCGACAATCTCACTTCTCATTATCTGTCTAATGGTGTCCTCGTCTTCCACAATGTGTCTCAAAATCAACATGAATGCACCCTGGAGCTTTTCATTTGTGGTGCTTGAAAGCTGCTTCATCATGACAAAAAGGCGCTGCAAGCTGCGCTTTTCGCCTAGGCGGGTTGCAATGCTGCGATTCCGAGTAAGTATAACAAGAACCCGACAAACAGAGAGTGCCAAGGTGTCATCCTTTCCAACTCTAGGAAGAATTTCGACAAGAGCCTCAAAAAGCTGCGTCTTCTGTTCATTGGAAATAAGAGGCTCGTCTAACTGAGCGGGAGCATCATCTTCCACACCTGGGTTATCATTATCAGGCATGTTCCATCGAATCTGAGGAGGTTGGGCGTCGTCAGAGAGCAATTTCTCCAGGACCAGTAGAACATGCCCGATCCATGGGAAGGACTCATCCGAAGACTTCTCGGAAGGCACAGAGATAAACCCGAGGAATGTAGTGAAACACTCTTTCAGTTCCTCCAGTGTAGCGTTATACATGTCTCTGTCTTGGACTACTAGCGCGAGGAGATGGGCATAAGCAGCCACCTTCTTTCCAGCTGCTTGGAAGTTCTCCATTTGCAATGAAACAAGAGATTGAACAAGGATCTCTCCAACCTCCTTCCGGAAGCTTTCAGGGTCACGGTGCTTCTTCGTCGCAGAAGCGATCAGGTCAGCCAATTCGAAGGACACGTCATGGTGCTCATTTAGGACATCTAGGCAGCGCTCAATCAAATTCGCCCGGACCTTCTCGCGCTCCCTGTCTAAATCTTCGACCGTGGTAACTTCGCGTCGTCTTGTCGATTGTTCCGTTCGCTGCTCAGAGGATGGGTCTGTCGAATGGTTTGATGGCTCCAAAAATTCCCCCCCGGTAGTTGAGGTTACGGGTGTCCTCTCGGTCACTGTCGACTGCGCTATGGTCATCATTAAGAATATGACTCAACGCTCGAGCTAGGAATTCAGAGCCATGTCTGACTTCGGTTTCGACTGGGCCACCCTGGCCTTGTTCTTGGCGAGGAATGTCATCCGATCGGCCAGAAGCTTGCGCTATAAGCATTGCAAGTGTCGAACGGTCGAGGAACCGACTGTCGAAAGACGAGGCGTCTCCACCGGCCGGCTCTTCGGAAGTTTCACCATCTGATGTTCGAACAGACTCAATGTCGTTGGGAGGTGGTGGTATTCTCGGAGCAGGTAGTAACCAGTCTTGTGCCTTGCAGTATTCTTCGGCTGGGGCATACTGGTTGTTGCAGCGGTACAGGGCCTCCTTTACAACTTCTAGATCGAAATCTTTTGCCTGCAAAGCGGCAACACGATCCCTGTTGATAACTAGTTTTCTCCTAGACACCTCAGTCAATGCGGGTGGTAGATTAGAGCGCTGGGCGGCCCCAGTTTCATATTCGCCGTCTAGCGATGAGCGCAAAATATCCACCAAGCACTTGATAACGGAACTTGAAGACTGGGTAGCAAAATCGGAATTCCACAAGTCCCGAGCCATCGGCAATATCTCCATCCGAAGGTCAACCAGGAATTGGCCTGGTTGGAAGTAGTCGGGACGGTCCCGCTCCCGGTCACTGCCCGTCATGGCTTGCGTTTGGCTAGACTCGACAATATTCTTGCCCGAGGCGAGCTCAGAGAAAAAGCTAAGTATAATCTTAATACCTCCATAAGCAGAAGTAAGTCGAGCTGACACGTCCTTCTCAGAGTCAGGCACCGACTCGGGAGGTGTGAGAGTCTTGACCTCACGCACAAAGACGTCGCAGATATCTTTCATAGCTTTCAAACCATGAATGCGTTTGAACGCAAAGAGGACGAGAGTGAGGTAATGAGAATGCGGGCGATCTGCAGTAGCTGTATCAAAGTGGGTTTATCAGTTTTTGGCCCTGTCTTATAACAGATAGATAACATACCTTCGTAAAGCAAATGCGAGAATGAGGAAAGGATAACAATGAGGTAAGCAAATCGGAGCTTGTGGTTACCACTAGTGTTCGGGGGCGCGAATTGGAGTTGCTCGAGCACAGCGCCCGCAATGGCCTCAGCCACCGAAGTTGCATTCTGCTTCTGGTAGAGATCTATCCGCCGCTTCCCAATAAGACCGAGGCCCAGATTGTGGAAGAAGCCCGTTATTGAGGAAGGCAAGGAGCTAAGAAGGTAGCGAAGCGCTTGGACATTCTTAAAAGCTACACTATTTTCGGGGGGGTTAGAGGTATCTCCTCTGGGCTCCTGAGCGACACCTGGTTGAACAGGCTCACTCGTAGTCGAACCTTCGCGAAGAGGCGCAGGCACAGCTGAGCTTGTTTCTGCATTCACGGCTCCCGAAGATTCATTAGGTTTTTCTGAACCCAGGCCAGTTAGTTGCACTTTCGTTGCCTGGTCCCAGGTGTCAGGTATATTCTTCTCTAGAAGAATTTCCTCCCACACACAAGCCGCATGCAAACCTCCGAGTCGTCCAATAAGAGAACAATAACGATCGGCTAGATTGACTTGTGCAAATGCAGAAGTCTGCTGGCTGGGTCGGGTCTGATATAATGGCATGGAGTAAACTTCGCGAAGAAGATCCGTTAAGATAAGTGCAGCCACCATATTCTTAGCAAAGTATGTCCCATTATCTCTTGCGAGTTCCCAGGATTTGTCGTCTTGTTCCTTGGGCTCTTTCTCAAGAGGTGGCTTGATCAGAGGGGTGAAGAAACCTGATTCCCGGGGTCCCGACAGACGCCAGAACTCAGATAGTTGTTCCACAATCTGCTCTGCGCGATCAACAAGCCCGGGCAAGACAAGGTGAGGCTTCGTTTCCGCCAACATATGCACCAAAACAGTGAGCTCCTGGTTAGCATCAGTGTTATGGAAATCAAATGGGAGACTTTGCAGAGTTGCAATATCCAAAACGAACTCCACGCCACCACATTCGATAAAGTAGGTGCAATTCGATTGGTTTTCAAAGAAAGCACCTAAGAATCGCAATACGGGGTAAAGGTAGTCCGTAACAGTGAGACCTGTAGAGTCTACGTCCTTCGGTTCGATGTCGGTATTAGAGGCAGGGAGAACAAGGCTTAAATCGCCGGTTTTCATGATGCCACCGTCTGGTAGTGCCCCAGATTTGATCTCCCGAATACCAAGATCCGACGGTGCAATGTCCCCAGCGACTCTCGTGCCACCAATCTTTCGAAACAGATGATATGCTGGTCCAGAAAGCACTGGCTTTCCCAGGGTGTTATCTGTCCACAGCTTGGATCCCATGCCATCCGACCAAGCCTTACTCCTGCATAGAAAGCCAACTCGTGCGACCATCACAATGACGGCAGCCATGATTGTTGACTTCAGCGCAGGATGATGCCGTACTAACTCATCAAACGTGGTTCCTAGCGAACGTACGAGATTGGGATCATCTTTCAGGCATTTCACATGCTCGGGATTTTCGAAGATCTCGAAAAAGCTTTCCAGAGCATGGGATGACTGAAAGAGTTCAAGTCCAGATGAGTTAAGACAGATTGCTCCAAAAGCCGATGGAATGCATGATAAAGCTTCCGCTGCGGGCATGATACCTAAGGCTAACTTTGCATCCTTCGACCTTGCCAGCTCATACTCACGGGTCTTCTGAGGCACACTGCCCGACTGGCTAGTGTCGACCTCGGACAGTCTAGCGGATGATTCCCCTTCAACTTCAGCACCCTCCGTATCAACAGGCAACTTCTCTTGTGCTTTTATCTCACTGTGCGTGACAGCTTGTAGAAAGCTCTTGCTCAAACCAGCCTCAGCAATGACTGCATAACTAGTGGGCTCGTTGTGAATGAAACTACTAAGAATATTGACTGCGTTGCTCCAGACATGAGACCCAAAGACACGGGCGTTTTCAAAGACCAAACGAAGGGACGTCAGCAGTTGAGGTGAGTCAATCAAATTCCGAAGAACACGATCAAAACCACCGCCGTTATGCTGCATAATATGATTGACAAACCGGAACATCCACCTGAGTGTCTGCTGCTGAAAATACGGGATCTGGTAATCAATTGACGGGGTCTTGTGATGAGAAGGAATTCCTGCGCCGCGGGATACATTCTCGAAGGAAGTTTTGGTTTCAAAATCGATCAAATCCGAAATTGCGTCAAACCCCTTGGCTGCTGTGAGAGTCCCAAGCGCATCACGAACTGCATGGACAAAGGTATCGAGGAATTCCATAATTCGAGAATAAACACGACGAGCCTTCTCAGTTCGGAGGTTCAAAACATCAACGAACATGGGAATTAAGCCAGCAGAAACAAGGGTCTCGGGTGTCCTCGTGCTTGAGCCAGGAAGCGTTCGCAAAAGAGCAAGTAACGCATCCCGCCACTCATCCTCACTGCCATCATCCGTCCTACTGTCTTCTGAGCCTAATTCATTGACAGCCTTCCGGGTCAGGAACATGAGAACACCATGGTTTACATTAACACTTAATGCAGCACAGACGTCGATTGCTCGTGATTTGTGTTTGGCCAAAGAGTCAAGAGTCTGGAGTACCAATGTTTGTACACTTCGAGAGACTGGAAGATCACCACTTGCGCCCAGATGAACCAGCTCGCCCAGTTGATAAGCCAGCTGCAAACGTTTCGGCTGTTCCATATCGTACTGGAGGATCTTCTGTTGAAATAGCGACTCAGGATATACGTAAGCCAAGTTGGTGATAGCAAGCAACCTGATGGCAAGAATCTGTTCGCGGCTAGAAGGAGATGTTGCCAGTCCCTGGGCAATCCGAATTCTGTGGAGCAGCTCATATTTGGAGTCGTCAGGCAACTCTTCCACGTGCGATGCAACAAGACTATCGGGTGTCGACGAAGAGATGCTTGAGTATGGAATATCAAGGACCTTTCCGCCCCTTGTCGCTTCTTCCAGTTTTCCTGAGGGAGTATTCACAGCAGAGCCAGGAGAATCCTCCATGATCGAGGTGCGGCTCAAACGAGGCGTGGGGTGGGTATGACTTCTACGCAGAGGTGTTGGCGTGGTAGGAGTCTGCGTCGGTAGCCCACCATGTACAACCTCCGATGGTGGCTTGGCCTGGTCTGAAGTGCCAGAAGGATAATAAAGCAGATGCACATGACCCCACTCTTCCCAGCCATCACTTTCGCGCACAAGGGTAGCCAGGTCGTTGGCATCGTGCTTGATTTGGGAACCTTTCTCCTTGCCCTTAACGCCAACAGGAGGAGATACAGGTGTCTTGTTCAATACGGAAGGGCGCGGGAAAGGCGCAGCAATCTTTTGCAGTTTTTCCAAATCAATGTTAAAGTGGGCTGCCAGGAGGCTCTGTTGGAGGTGGGTACTACCCCGCTGGCGAGAATGATATCTTTGAGCCAAAGAGAGTGACAAACGAAGGGTAGACTGGAGAAGACAAAGTGACGTGGTATTCAGAAGTTCCCCTAGCCGTTCACTGCTGCTATACAAGCTGCGATTACCGCACTTATCCAACAGTAACCTGGAAAAGTCGAGAATTGCTTCCAAGAGCTCTCTGTCACCCTCTACACCATAGCCAAGAGCGGTCAACTTAGCGTCGATATCCTCCGAGTTTGATTTGCTGTCATCACTTGCATAGGAGTCCGCCAGGACATGTCTGCTGAATGGCTTGGTTTGAGGGCCATTATTTAGACCATATTTTTCATTGGCAGTAGCAAGATCTCGTCGAAGCGGTTCAGAACATTAATCCAATGATATAGATCACCTCTTGGAAAAGGCCATATGCGAGGAAAGGTGCTGAGATGTGAGGGAAGCTCGGGGACGGGTATAGTTGTAGCACGAGATACGAACTCTGACAAATAAGGGGACTATAGTGTAAAGGAGAAAATTTCAGCTCAGCTTTAAATCAGTACGGCAAGGCACGTGGAATTATAACTCACGATCGTAGCCTCATGTTTTTGGCTCGCCACCTTCTTAATTCTCCCCATGATGACGTTCAAAAGCAACAGGTAATCATGAGGGAGCTGAGGATGGCCCCTGGAGGATTCCTCCTAGATGAGGGTGGGGAGGTCGTGAAGACCGGGACGCGGAGAACGTTGCGAGGCGCCTTATGACGTTTTGGGTACCTCTTCTGCCTCAACAAAATCAAAAGAGCGAAATGAGACTCCGGGACAGCTGTAGCCAAGAATCTCGAGATTGCAAGTAGGTTGAATAGCGAATGTAGAGGTAAAGTCCGACGTGGTCAAAGAGGTTATACCCGGATGAATTCAAAGGACTGAAAGAATATGATGAGGGACTGAGGTGGGTGTGTTTGCGGCTTTCAGTAAGTACGAAGTACCGCTGGGCGTCAGAGGAACAGGGAAACGGTGCAGGTCGTTCGCCCTGTAAGGTTTGACATCCAGATCGAATTAAGACAATATTAGGTGAAAGAACCACACACAATGAATAAGGGGGGTGGTGAGGGAGAGGACGTGGGCGAGGTTTGGATGGGGGTATAAAAAGAAAGATGAGTAAAGAGTTGGAAGGTTCGTGAAATTATCCCAATAATGGAGCTTCTTCTTGTCAGGTTCTCTCCCGTTGTGGCTCATTCACCTGGACCAGTGGTAAACTTACAGTCAGAACCGGAGCGGGTCTTCTTCCCCGCCGAGGCAACAAGTCAGCCCTGCACTATTTACAACTGTACTAACTGATACTAACCACTTTACTGCCTAAATATTTGTTTGTTTACTTCTAATTTTCGGACGGATTCACTCTCATCCGAATATCCCAGCAGACAATATAATTGATTTCTCTGGGCTGGGAGTAGCCACTACCTGGTAGTAGTACACTTCCTTATACACTGTATCTGTATTCTCTCGGTTTGATTTCAGTTGTTCGTTCCTGGTATTTCAGGCCATACATAATATATATTCACGTCACTACCCCTCATCCCACCGGAATCTATACTACCTCATATTCCATGCATGCTTATGCTGTCATCTTCCTCCCTCTTTTTCTTCTTTCTTACAAGAAGGTTCAGATGATGCTCAAAAAAGCAAGACGAAACTACGCATAAAACTCCCACCTACAGCTAATTTGGCAGGGAAAATCTCAATTTATTTCCGTGGCGGTGCCTTACTGTACATATAAATCAACAACAAAGTAATAACACAGTCAACAGTACAACATTTTTAGCGTATATCCAAAAGAGGCGGTTTATCAACATTGCGTTTATCACAGGCCGGACGTTACCTCTCCATTCGCGGCAACTCACCATCCCACTGAATCTTCATGCTAGTTGGGAAGGGAGAAAATCCGCTTTGGTCTGGAGTCATATACTTTGCAATTCCACCAGGCCCAGACAGCCTTTTCAGCTGCCCCTGAGGCCCTGGGGCACGGCGCAGATTATCCAAGCGTCCGATGACCTTGAGCATGGTGGTAAGCGCTAACTTACAAAGCCCAATACCTAAGCACTGATGTGAACCAAAACCAAAATGAGCGTAGAGATCCATATCGCGATCAAGTCTGACCTTTTCAGGCTCTGGAAAACTTGCCGGGTCCATGGAAGCGGAAACCTAGAAAAGTGCAAACAATAAGTTATCTGTGCCCACGATAGTCGTGTTCTGTTTCATTTAGGATATTGGCCTCACTCACCAGGTTGCAGAGGATGTGTTGCCCTGCCTTGAAATTTAGCTTCTTACCGTTGTCTTCAACGACAGTGGGCTTGACCACCATCCGAGGCAGTCCCACGGACGACCGTAAGCGGGCGCCTTCCATGAAGCTTCATATGGTTAGTTGCGAACAAGGATACTGGGACGAGAAATCCATACTATCTTAACAGCAATTCGTCGGTTTCCGGTGTGTCAACCTTTGCCAGCCGTTTAATATCAGGCAAATGGACTGACCCTTCTTCCGAAAGGTAATAGTCAAGACATTGTGAAAAAAGCTGCGCTTGGTTTGCCACCATGCCCCCAGCAGTTGGCAGAATATGAGTCCATACAATCTCATCCGCTGGCAGGCCGCTGGCAAGGAGGCGTTGGATCATGTGGACACCGTATTCACTGAGCACGTCATGTCGGTGTAAACTACTCACCAAGTTCGCAATGAACCCAGTGTTGTTAACAAGCTCGACATTGGCCATTGCCAACTGCCCGAGCTGCTGCGTCACTTCCCGGGCAGCTTGGTTAAGTTCAAATGAGTTCGCAGGATCCGCATCGTAGAAAATTGAGGTGAAAACAACAGCCATGATCTGGTAGAGTTCGGTTTCCGTGAAGACTCCCCGGGGGTTAGATTCAGTCTTCAAAGGCAATGAAAAAACATTTGCGCAGAAATGAACCTGAGCAGGATTTGCAACGTCTCGTACAATGTCAACTTGATTGATCCCAGCAATCTTGTAAGAATTTCTGTGCAGAAGCTTCAGAGTTATGTCCTCATAGAATGATTTGATTTCATTCTCCCATCTCTTTCGGTACAAAGCAGCTCCCATCATCTTGCGCGATGCGGCATTTGGAGGCCTATCCCCAGACAACATAAAGTCCCTGCCAAAAGGCTGTTTTCCACGGTGCATCAAGAATTCGATCTTTGAGCCCCATGTGACCTTGAATGCCTCTGGATCAGACAATATTGACATGCAAGCCGAATGAGAGTGAATGAACTGGGGTGGGGGAGTGTAGCCAGGCTTGTCCCAGTTATACTTCTCAGCAAACCCAAGTTTTGTCAGTATCTTCTTGTTTTCAGATGGAATAACCAGAGGGAGATGTGCGTAGATCGAGTTTCCCTTGAAATGGTTCGGAAATGCTCGCAACACAAGCTTATAGAATACATGGCCTTGATCGACTGAGTCCTTAGGTTCAATCTCGCTAAAGGCCCAGTTTGTAAGATGCCTTGGAGTGAAATCGACTGTGTAGAAGCGATCGCCTCGGACCAAGGCAACTGCGTCGGAGAGAATGGCCCTTGAAATTGTGAAATTGGTACACAAGCCACTTCCAGGGACCACGGCTTCCTTTGTATCCTCGACGATAACACCAGGGTAGATCTCCACATTGTCTGGGTGATCATATAGTCGCTTGAGCTGCTCAGATATGTAAGGGTCAGGATTGATCTCCTTAAAAGTTTTGTAGGGGGTCAGGTTAAAGTAGTTCCGGAATTCGTTCAAGGTAGCCAAATTCCAGGAGCGAGCTTGTTTAATCCCCAACGCTTCAATACTTCTGAAGATCGTTGGAACGTTAGATGCACCAAATGCGCCTACGCAGTCCTCAACGCTGTCCTCAAAGATTTTGACGAGAGAGTCATCGTCAAAGGATCCATCAGGCTTGCGCTGTAAGCCTGCAAACGGACGATCCTGGGGTTGCTCTGGAAGGTTTGCCTCCCACTTTCCGAGACCTCGTACAAACTCCTGCAAGGAGACACTGTTCGGATCCCTTCCAGGAAACATATCTTTGTACAAATCTTCCGTCCACTTCTCGTCACGTTGAGAAATGCAAGAATGCCATCTGTACACAAGGTTGAATTCAGCCGAGACTTGGTTACCGGTAGCCTGAGCTGCTGCTTCGCCAAGTAATCCATCCTTCATTTCAGCACGGGGGTCCAAGCTCCAAAGGCTGTCAGTTCGATTAATATTCAAGATCGTTCGCACGTAGTCTTTGAGTATTATGTTGACATAGAGGCCGCAGGTTACTAGCCGACCGGTTTGGAACAGATCGTTATCATATCTTGCATATTCTTTGGTGTTCGACTCATCCGGCTTTGTGAACCGGCCGCCTTCGTTAATTGCGGCCAGCTGTTCGACGACGTGGTTGTGAAATCGGTTAAACATGATCAAGATTACGCCAATACCCGGAGGAAACCCCAGTACACGCTTGGTAGAGAAACAGTCCGGCTTGAGCTTTCCATCCTTGAAGGTTCTGACAAGGTTTTGCTCGTCTTGGTTATTTCCATACAGTGGCGAAAGGTCGAGATATGAAGATGTTAAAGAAATTGTGCTGTCGTTGCGGTCCGTTTGAAATAGGTCTCGATGGATGTTAGATATGAATGGGTGGTGAGCGTTATTGGCCGCTACTCACCATGGATAATAATAGATGCAATGTAGAACAGAATACTAGAAATCTTGTTTGGATGTTCCTTAAAATCTTTGCGTGCCAAAAGCGAATCGAACAGTGTTTCTGGATCCGGGAGCGCAGGAGATTGCAATGTCTTTGGCCGAACCGATCTCGCGTAATGAGAGCCGGCAGCGCCGATATGAGGCCACAAAACGTTCTTCTCTGGCATTAGCAAGCGCTCTACTCCAGGGGGGTGAGACAGGTTTTACATTGCCTGAGCCATCTGCTTCTCGATACGAGTATTCGCGGCCAAGGTAACTACCTTCATTGTTAGACGTGCTAGCACAGCTCATGTCTTATCGACCAACATACGAAACCGGGGGGTGTTCCAGATCTTTCCACAGCTGGTTGAGGAAGGCATTTGTCAACTCTTTTCCAACTCGAGAGGTGGAAGGAAGTGCAGAGGTAAGCTAGAATGAAAGCTTCTCGTTAATATAAGCCGCGACTACCCGTCCCAACGATTGCAGCAACGAACCTGGATCAATCGCTCCATGATATATTGCTTATCATTGAGAGGCTCTCCCGTGGCAGCATTTTTGGTGAGTTCCACGATCGTCTTGACATCGCCGAGATCCATACGGCCCAGATCCCTGACAATTCCCGTGTTACTTGAGTCTTTCACATATGATCCATCCCCTGTTTCGGTGGGCAACGGCCGTAGTGATGCTGACACAACCTTTTCAAGTTGAGAAACAGTCTTTCCTAGCCCATTGACCACACCACCACTCTCACTCTCTGTCATCGTGAAGTAGAGTATAGAGGACTATTCACAACCGTCGCAGCAACGGAAACCAGAAGAAATGGTAAATATATATTAGCTGTTATTGAATATCAGTACTAATGATCTAGAAACAACGGTTTCTCCTTTCCCGCCATTATCTTTCATCCTAAGCAACGGACGTGATAACATAGGGTCGTTGTAGAGATTGGGCAATAGGGATGTATTTTATTGGCAGGAGGGGCTCATAGTTACCCACCTATATCGAAAAACCCAAGGAAATGAACGCCCAGAGTTGCGAAAACCTAAGAAGTAAAAGTGGGTGTGAGGCTGGTGATGACCGATTTTGTAAAGATACAACGAGGCAGCTACTGAACTCTCAGAGGGGGGAAAATATGGATATACTCATGAACCGTGGTATTTGAACGTAAGACAAGAGAGATGAATAAAAGGAGCAGGAACTTGTTCCTGTAACTGGTTTTTATATGTCCACGACCATATCGGCCTAACTTTGTGAAGGATTACGGTGCGGCTGAATAAATAGAGTCAGCTCAAGAGGATCAGCTCCAATGTCATTTGGATTAGAAAGCATACACCTACTAACTAACGAACTAACTGTTCGCCGTTTCTCCTCCCTTGACAAGGAGAGCCCCACTGGCAGGTGTGCCAGTGAGTCTGCGTTGATTTGATTCGCGCACGGAGTATACGAGTCGACGGCTGAGGCATACTAATAATACGACGTTGCCGTTCATGGAGAAGGGAAACCCACGGAGCCCGTGGGGAATTCTAGGCCGAAACTAAAGAGAAAAGTTACCTTGGAGCCCGAATGGCCCCCCGTATCCAAGGATCACCATGAACAGCTAACTATTGGATCAGATTGGTTTATGGGACTGGAAGGCCCGATCTACGACTGGAAGTTCAGCGAGGTGGCGCAAAAACGCAAACGGAAATTTGTCTGTGGTAGGTTCCATTCATATTTATTGCTCCAGGTGATTGATGGTTCGTCGGGATTGCCGATTTCTCACGGGTTGGCCAATTGAGACCTGAGAAGACATGATCATGATATCTACACTCCTTCTTTGCATGTCGCAGACACCGTCATGGTCTCAGGGCTGTCACAAACATTGTTTTTTTCTTAGCTTAGCACCAAACGACGCCAATCATGTGACGGCGAAGGTGGCTGGCTGAACTGACCGGGCTAAAGGACACTACTGGGTGCCAGTCGTCCTGGTCCTGACCCGTCTTCTTACGGATTATGCAAGAGGAGCTGAACATGAAGTGATAAGTATTCATAATTAGAAGATATGCCACCAATACGCAGGATCATACCTCGGAAGGAAGCGTTCAATGATAAGCCAGCGTATTTTTGCTTTTGTCTTGGGGTGGGGTCAATGCATTGTACATACAGTACAGAGTCTTACTCGGAGTAGGATATCAGTATTCATACTCTGCATGTCCCTGACCTGCAGGATGCTTCCTTCTCCCTCATATGACTCAAGTCTTCGAAGCATTTTCTCGATCGCCTGACGTGCTATCACTTTGCCTTGACTCTTCAGAGCTTCTGGAAAGTTTAGGTGGTTGTTTCTTGGCGTCGCCCCACCTTGAAAGCTCTCAACTTTAAATTTTATTTTCCGTCCTCAACATTTACAAAACCCGAACTGTTGATATCACGTGATCACTGACGAGCCGAGGTCAGGATGGGCCTATCACCAATCGTGTCTGGGTGGTCCTTCCCTCTCGAAATATGTGATACTGGTCGTCGTCTAAACAGCATCCAGTTGTCTACTTGCGAGTTTTGGTCATTGAATTCGGCTATCTTGACGGGAAATCTTCGATTTCAATCATGGCGCCAGCAAGTATTACATTAATTGTTGAGCCCCGGGGTATGTGTGCCTCCTGCACCGGCTGCCAGCCATTGGCACAAAGTCTTTGTGCCTCTTAGCTCCCTACCCTTACTTACCCTATACTAGGTAAACCGATCAAGAAGCTCCCCAAGGAAATTCAAATCAGTCCCAATGCTCCCGCCCAGGAGATCTACACGGCGCTCGCGGCGGCCTCCGGCTTTTCCATCCATCGCCTGAGAATTACTAAAGGAAGCGACCGCAGTGTAGTACCCAATTCGAAGGAGACTACAGTCGATGATACCGGTCTGAAAGAGAGAAGTGTTGTCCATGTCAAGGACCTTGGTGTGTGAAGGCGCAGCTTCTGATCGTTATGTGCAATAAGCTAACACCATCTTCCCAGGTCCCCAAATTGGCTGGCGCACCGTATTTATCATTGAGTATTTTGGCCCTCTGGTCATCCCTGCTCTGTTCCTCTACCCTCTTCGTCCGTATCTCTATTACAATTTCGACAAGCCACTTCCCGAACCATCCTATCTTCAGCAATTGGTCTGTGCACTGTTGTCTATTCATTTCCTGAAGCGTGAATTTGAGACCATCTTCATCCACCGCTTCAGCAATGCCACGATGCCAGCACGCAATATCTTCAAGAATAGCGCACACTACTGGGTCCTGGCTGGCTTGAATATCGCCTATTGGGTTTTCCGCCCCGACGCGTCTGCAGTCAACGAACCGAACCCTGCTCTCCTCTACGCTGGTCTCGGCCTCTTCGTTTTTGGTGAACTGGCCAACCTGAACTCGCATTTGGTGCTACGTGGCCTGCGCCGTCCGGGTACGACAGACAGGGGTATTCCCTCAGGATTTGGATTTAACCTTGTCACCTGCCCGAACTACCTGTTCGAGATCATGGCCTGGGTCGGTGTCTATCTCGTTAGCGGTCTCAGCTGGAGCGTGCTGTTCTTCATCGCCGTCGGCGGTGCGCAGATGGCCGCGTGGGCTAAGAAGAAGGAACGCCGTTACCGCAAGGAGTTCGGTGACAAGTACAAGCGCAAGCGCTCCGTTATTGTTCCTGGTCTTATTTAGTTTTGACCAGAAGAAATCAAATCACTTTCTTTTTCAAAGACTGTGGTGAGGTACGGCTAGCTCTGGCCTTGTTACTCTTACTCATTTCGAACCTGGTCACTCTCAGGTTCATTGTTTTAAATAGAGCCGTTAGAACAGTAGTCCGTGGCAGGGGACAAGTGTTTCTTCTAACATGGCTACTCGAAAACTAATCATGACCGGTATCACGGGCTATGGTGTCAGCCCATGATTTCCAATTGTACGTTTCCTCAAGATACTTCTGTCAAAAATACTAGAAATAATAATTGAGTATTTGTTACATTAAACATCAAAAGCTAGCAAATGAGAAACGCTCTACATGGAAAAGGTGCCTCCAGCTCCAAAACACCGACCTAAGATTATTCGCAGGGATTCACCCAGGACACAAACTTTTGGAGCAGTCCGTGTGTCCAGCGTGACAGATTCCTCATTCAATGAAACTAAATGCTCAAGGCAATCAGTCTTTTTTGAGTTTTTTGCTCCATAGACGGTAATATGGTTCCATCTCTTTCTCGCAATTCCGCTTCGTATCTGTGTCACATCCAAAGAAGCGAATGACCAAGTCACCGTCCTTATAGTTTCCATCCGCGCCTGCGCCCGACGAGTCCTTGCTGTATGCGTTGATTGTCCGCTGAGGAACCAAGGCTAGTCTGGCCAGAATCGTCGGGTGCCACTGGAGAATATGATCCTGGAAAAGTGACTGCCGTTAGCGTCTGTGGTACAAGCGGTCGTAGAACAAAGCGACCCGATACGGAGCTAGGATAACATCTTACCAACGCATGTGCCTCGGCCTTGGCGAAGTTGTAGTTGCGATACAAAGGATCGAACCATATGTCCAGGAATGTCTGCGCAAACTCGCCCTGTTTGATAACAAAGCTCCCGGAGCTAAGACTCTCGCTGTCTGTGCTGAGAATGAGGTCCACATCCTGGGGCTTTAGATGCGAAAAGGTCTTGATTATGCTATCTGGCGGGACAACGGGGACGTCCTTGAGCATCAACGAATCTAGACGACTCTTTTCGAGGAGGTGCGATTCCAGTGACTTGCTCGGGTCCATGATCAGCGCATGCGCATCGAGGTAGAAGAAGTTCTTCGAGTACGGATGGGTGGCCATCGCATGTCGAACGGCTGGGACGACGCCCCAGCTTCGCGGGGCGCTCTCCAGTGTAGTTTCGTAATCGGATATGTTGGCAAAGAAATTCGTATAACCTTGAGCAACGCACGTACTGTAAGTAAGTATCACCGGTCGGGAAATCGTGTGTTCACGTACCATGTTGCTTGGCGTATTCTTCTCTGTTCTTGGTGATCTTCTGAATGTAATCGGCGCTCCAGCGGGCACGGTCTAGAACTGTCACGATGACAAGACTTGACGTCCCGGCCGGTGCTGCGGGAGTTCCTGTACTTGAATAAAATAGTTGCGATAATAAGAAGTAGGTCACCACCAGTGCGAATCCTAGGATCGCAACAGCTTTAAGTTGTTTCCTGCGTTGTAACGACAGCCGGGAAGAGCGGCCGTATAGAGGAGCATTGAGGTTCCTCCGAGGTGGTAGAGCGAACTGCATGGTTGAACGGTTTGCCCCCAGCGGTAATTTGCTGGGTGACTAGGAGTACAGTTGGACGAAACTACCGATCAGGGCATTCTAATAGAAAGTAGACCCTGGGCTGTGTGGAAATGTAGCTTGCAGCGTCGCAGTACTTCTGGAACGGTCCTATCTAGTATCTGCCGCATCCGGAAATTAAATGCGGATCATCAACGGCCCGACATATTCTCCAAGACATTTCCTGAGGTACTTTCTTGGTTGGTCGTTGGATGTATTGGCGGCTTAAAGAGTATCCTGATCTAGGTTGTAAAGAAATGTCGAGATTCTGTATATCTGGTGTGAAAGGTCATAGCAGTGGTACTCGCCCCATCCATGATATTTCAATAACGAACTATTTATATTTAACCCAAAGTAGCATTGACAACGTATAAGTACACTGAAGAGCTAATCATGCAAATTTAAGGAAATAAATGCAACAACTGAGTGGTAGTTGTATGCTGGCCTCCGCCGTCCCTCCCATCTATCAATACCGGGAAGTGGTATATGAGGCATTGCCGACCATGACCAAAATAATAATACAGACGCCCATCCATTGATCACCGCAAACTGGAACAAAATCAACTGTTCAAAGTCCTTCTCCAGAAGTTTTTATTCCTCCCTCCTTAATACTGCTTCTCGTTGTAAGTTGGCTTCGTGACTTCCGTGATGTTGGTCAGATCCTCCGCCTGCGCCTTGATTTCGGCTTCCTTTTGTGCCACCCACTCCTCGAATGATGGCGGTTCGGGGAGTCCTAAGCGCTTCCGCTCTTGTCGGAATTGCTCTTGAATCTTCTCGGTCTGCATAACCTTCCATCTCAACTGCCATCCGAACACTCCAAGTTCCTTGACCCGCCCTGGCCGGTCGTCAAGAAGGTAGTTATCGAGTCCACCAGACTTCCGGATTGTCCTCAAAGCCTTACGTGTAACCTTGATAAACAGCCACTCCTCAAGTGCTTCGCTGTAGATCTTCTTTCGACGGACATTTGGCTTCCAGAAGCGTCGGGTTTTCCCCTCATTACGACCTTTGGAGATCTTGTTTCCGAATTGGATCATAGCGCCTCCATAGAGACCGCTGTTCGACTGTTTGTAGACATAGTTTGGACCGTAAGGGTAAGGAGGAATGTAATCAGGCAGCTGTTTCGTCTTCTGCGTGGCCAATGTCGTGGAAAAGGACCGTTTGGAGGCGGTTAACGAGAGGTTGCGAAAAGCCGAAGAGAGGGAGAACGGGACGGACAAAGCCGAACGAGGTTGTAAACCCGCCATTGTCTTGATCAAAAGGTCGATATGGTATCGACCATGACAGGGAAAGACAGTCGAGAGGAAGTAAACGGCGTCGACGGGCACGACGGGTAATGCGATATTGAGGGCCGGAGTAGTTCGTTGACTACCTTAGTGAGGTGAAAGAATTTGGGAGTTGGCCTCACCGCCTTAGCAACGGACGGCTATCATTGAGCGGTCCCTTAAGCTGTGCTTGAATTTCGGCCAGAAGCATCCATCGCTATCGTCCTGTCTCCAGTTTTCCCTGCTGGCCCATCAATTACGTTTCTTCCCGATAATATTTCTTGTTGCTCTAATCCCTGGCCGTTCCGACTATAATTTAATTAACCTATCGTGACTTCTGAGTGAGGTCGCAACCCTTTCACCATGGTCCAGATTAGCGAAGTGAAGGGCAATTCGCGCGAAAACAGGACCGCCGCGCACACGCATATCAAGGGTCTTGGATTACGTCCTGATGGCACTGCAGAGGCTTCCAGTGATGGATTCGTTGGCCAAACGACCGCCCGTGAGGTGCGCGATGCTCTTCCTCCGACCGCGTTACGCAACGATCACGGTGCTAACTAGCTCTCAATAGGCATGCGGTGTTGTTGTCGATTTGATCAAAGCGAAGAAGATGGCCGGGCGTGCTGTTCTACTTGCCGGTGGACCAGGAACTGGAAAGACGGCGCTCGCCCTTGCCGTATCACAGGAACTGGGAACCAAGGTCCCATTTTGTCCAATCGTTGGCAGTGAAATCTACTCTGCTGAAGTTAAGAAAACAGAGGCACTTATGGAGAACTTCCGGAGAGCGATTGGTGCGCAGACCATTTTTAGAGAGTTTAAGTGTTCACACGGTTAACATGCTTTTAGGTCTCCGTGTGCGCGAAACCAAAGAAGTGTATGAAGGTGAAGTCACCGAGCTTACGCCCGAGGAAACTGAAAACCCATTGGGAGGCTATGGACGCACAATCAGTCACTTAATTATCGGATTGAAGTCTGCAAAGGGAACCAAGAAGCTGCGCCTTGATCCCAGCATTTATGAGGCTATCCAGAAGGAACGGGTCACCGTTGGAGATGTTATCTACATCGAAGCGAACACTGGTGCTTGCAAGAGAGTTGGACGATCAGATGCCTATGCGACCGAGTTCGATCTTGAAGCGGAAGAATATGTTCCTGTGCCCAAGGGGGAGGTCCACAAGAAGAAGGAAATCGTACAGGATGTGACGCTACATGACCTGGACATGGCCAACGCCCGACCACAAGGTGGACAGGACGTTATGAGCATGATGGGACAACTGATGAAGCCCAAGAAGACAGAGATCACGGATAAGCTGCGCCAGGAGATCGACAAGGTAGTTAGCCGGTATATCGACCAAGGAGTTGCTGAGCTGGTTCCTGGTGTTCTATTCATTGATGAGGTATGTGACTTATCATGGCTGCGTTTCCGCCCCACGCTTCTAACATTCCCATTCTAGGTCCACATGTTGGATATCGAATGTTTCACCTATCTCAACCGTGCACTTGAATCCACAATCTCCCCCATTGTCATCCTTGCCTCCAACCGCGGCCACACTGTCATCCGCGGCACCGACGACATCACTGCCGCACACGGCATTCCTTCTGACCTCCTCGCTCGCCTTCTCATCGTCCCCACCCACCCTTACTCTTCCGACGAGATCAAGACTATCATCCGCCTTCGCGCCAAGACCGAAGGCATCAACATCACCGATCCCGCCCTCGACAAGATCTCCGAGCACGGCAGTAACGTCAGTCTGCGGTACGCACTGCAATTACTAACCCCCGCTAGCATTCTTGCACGGGTCAATGGACGGCCAGGAGGCATCGAGGAGGCCGATGTGGCCGAATGCGAGGACCTCTTCCTTGATGCAAAGAGAAGCGCGACGATTGTAAGCCAAGATAGCGAGAAGTTCCTTTAGAGGGCGTTTTGTGGAAACGAAGATCTTTTTTGAATTAATGCTTTGGACTGAGAAAAGAGCACAAGAATAAAGGAAACTGAAAAAAAAAAAGAGCAATATGTATACCATGTCTGATGTATCGTGTACTGGTCAGGCAAATGATCCATCATAGTCATTAACGTTAATGTCAACTAGTCCCATGTTTTCATTGGTCTCATTTCTCCACTATAGAAACCAGTTCTATAAAGGCTCTCTAGCATCAAACCGGCCGACTAAGATTTAAGCATTCTATTCCCACCCAACATCCACTCAAACATAATCTCAACCCTCGATACAGGGAACCCAAGTGCCCCCAATAAGATCCACGACATCTGGAAAATCAGAGCATAGAACCGAGCGAGACAAAGCACCGTCCGAACCAGATGGTCTTTTAATCCTAGCTCTGTAACCGGCGATGTCGAGGAACACATGGGATCAGGGTGGTAGTGAACCCCAAAAGGCACCTGAGCACCTAAGTGCTCAATAGCAATCTCGAGACCAGAAGTAACCGCATCTTCGAGAAACCCACGCCCGGTCCACCGGAAGCCGTAGCTTAATCCCCTCTTGTTCTGGATTAACGGAAGACGGCTTTGAGCTTGGAGAGTTGCAGTGCTAAGCTCGGGGTCGGTATACTCCCATATGCTGTGTGCGAAGCGGGGGTGGGGCGGCGTAAATGGATTCAGGGTGATGTATAGCCGGTCGAAGAGACGGGTTGGGATATTTTGGAGGGAATTTACGTTGTATGTAAGGCTGGATTTGCGGGGAGTCCAGGCTGGGGGTTCTTGCTGGGTGTGGTCGGAGGGGTCTAGGCTGTAGTTGCTGGTGGGCCAAGCTCCGTGGATGTTGGGTGCCAGCTGTTTCGAATGTGTAAGTGGTTTTTCGATCGTGTCGCGCCTGATGGAGGGTCGTGGATTACTTACAAAAGGGTCTGAGTGTAAGACGGCGATATTGTTAGTTGTTTTGAGCCCCTCGATGATCTCCGTTTCATCGGTATCTATATTGGAACCTAGTATCTTGAGAATCTCGTCGTTATCCACGGCGAAGATAATATGATCAAAATGTGATTCTCTACCATCCGCTGTGAAGAGGATATACTGTCTTTTATCCACACGGGTTATCTCCCGGACCCTGGTATTGAGGTGCACATTTTCAGAGGAGAACCCCTTGGCCATGGTCTGAACAACATGGTTTGTTCCGCCATCGATACGGCGAAAATCTGGCGTTGTTCGCCGTATGCCAAAGAGCTGATGGTCGCATAAGCTGCGAATGAGGGTCTTGACAGGTAATTGCGGAAGTAGCCTTCCAATATTTATCCCCCATAGGGTGGAAAGCAAAGGCGCTAGATACTGGTCGCAAAGACTTTTTGAATACCCTTCGTTCGAAAGAAATTCAAGTGTACTGAGCGACTGCAGAACGTTGGTCTTGTCACGGGAAGAACGCTTGTCTATCAGTATATCCATGGCCAAGTAATTAAACCATATGATGTCGAGCAGCAAACGAAGGGTTCCTAAACTGCACAGCATCCACGGGTGCAGGAGAAGGGTATTCAAAACGCCACCACACCAGTCATAAGTGTCTACACCATCTGACACACCAAAAGCAAATGGTACAGTGGATGTGCCTATTCCTAGGAAGCGGAGCAAAGACACGAGATTGGCTGGACACAGATGTTAGCCCTGAACCGCCGTTCTGGTATAACGAAACTAACGAGAAGCCTCAGCATTGAAGGCTGGCGATTGTGTGTTCACATCGACCGCTTTCCTATACTGTTCTAATGGTAGGGATTTGATACGCCCACCCAAACTTGCTGAAGCCTCAAACAGGTGGACATCATGCGTCGATTGTTGCAATGCCCAGAAGCAAGTGGTTCCAGTGCAGCCGCCGCCAACGATAGCGACTCGTTTGGAGTGAGGAAGTGGCATGGGACAGAAATTCTTCTAATAACCAGCTTTCTATCTGATTGAAAAGACAGTGCCAGCAATTGAAAGGTGAACTCAGGCCTTCTATACGAAGCGCAACAATTGGTGCACGGGCTGGAGAGGGAGTGGATGAAACAGCAGATATATCTATACTACTCGCCCCCATTCAGACCTCGGCTCATCCTTTCCAGGGGTGGCGAGAATCAGGCGGTCTCAACTATGGTGAAAAGATTAGTTCAGGATGAAACGAAAGATTGCCAACATAACACGGTTACGGGGTCGTCCAGACATGCTTTCCGATCTACTTGGGTGTGATTGTATCAGATGACAGGGCGCTTAATCATGGGTGAACCAGCGGCAAATTGGCTTTTAGGAGGATAAATATCGCATTATGACACTCCAAACACCCAGAGTGGTCATTGGCCAGGTTCCAATCCTGAGGGGGTTGTTTTACGGGGTTAATTTGCATACTCCACACACTCCAGTTGTATCAGGGGCACACTATAGTCGGGTGGCTGGCTCATATCTGCACGCATATCAGATTTCCGTTGATCGTGAGCACATCAGTTGCAACTACTGAAAAGCTGGCAAATGATGCATTTCGAGTACGGAAGATAGTTGTTTTTTTTTAGAGTATCAGAGGAAGATCCGCCAATCGATCCGTAATTATAGCATACTACTAGTACATCCATAGTAGGAAGAGTGAACTACGACTAACTAATGATTGATTCGCAAGGCGGGAAACCTCAGCCTCGGCCGCGCATCACGTGTGGGTCGGGGGTTCCTGTTCCGGAATGCCAATCTATCGTCATTCTGCCTACTTTCCCCCTCATTCAACAGCAGAAATTCACAGCTTTCGGTCTTTTTCGTGTGTCCCTCATTTCGCGCATCAGTGGCCACTCCCTACATCGTGTAGTGTATCTGTGTGGGCGCGCTCAGTTCGTTCTGAGTCCTGACCGATCGAAAGTGCCACCAGCCACCGCAAGATAAGGTGGTCCCAGGAATCCGCCTGCCTATCAGCGACTATTGAGCGCTTTAAAAACCCAGTTTAGACCAACGTCGCAACCTATACAAATCTTCCTTTTTTTTCTACATAGATAACATCTCGTCATCATGTCGAACCCGTTGGATACCGATGCCGGCTCGGAGCTGTTCAGTAGTTACGAAACCGAGCTGAAGCTGATACAGGCCGATCTGAACCAGACATTAGACCAGATCGCTGAGTCGAGTGGAGAGCAACGGAAATCAACAATAAGGAAAGCGGAACAGCTGCTAGATGAAGCTACTGAACTGGTTGGTTACCTACCTTACAACTCTCTGTGAATTCTTATTGACAGGCCCGGTCATTCGCAGTTGGACCAGATGCGCATGGAGAAGCAGAACATCCCCTCGGCGGCACGGTCAAAAGTCAACGCACGATTTCGCAATTATGCCACGGACCTTGATGAGTCGAAACGCAAGCTCAAGTCTCTTTCTGACGACCGGAAAGCACTCTTTGGTGATCGCTACACCGACGACCCGCAGGATGTACACTTGGAGCAGAGGCAGCAGCTTCTGTCCGGCACGGACCGCCTGGAGCGCAGCTCTGCCAGACTCCAAGAAAGCCAGCGGATTGCTTTGGAGACGGAGGATATCGGCCGCAACACGCTAGCAGATTTGAATCAGCAGCGGGAAACCATCATGAATACTCGGAGCAATCTGCAGCAAAGCGAAGGATATGTTGATACCAGTATCAAAACATTGAGGGGCATGGCCCGTAGGTACTGACTCCTTGGACTCCTACTCTTCTACGCTATAGCTCATATTGCTAACACTTTACGCAGGATGGCTACGAATCGGATAATTACTATTGCGATTATAACCGTTTTGGTTCTCCTAATTGTTGCCGTTATCTACAGCAAGTTTCATTAAGCGTTAGGGCTAGCAGGCGTTGTGCGGGAGTTCTTCGATTTTACTTTTCATCTTACGATACAGTGTCTGCTGTAGCAGGCACTGCTAAAGCAACGTTGTATGATAGCATCTCCATGGCCTAATCAAGCCAGCTTTTGTAGTTTTGGTACAACTCAACGACTTAATTGGCCTGTTTTATTAAAAGCAAGAACAAAAATTCGGGGTATCATTAGCACATAACGAGAAGCAGAAGGGTGAAATTCAAGACGCAACAAACACCACCTAGTATCAGTTCATGATACGCATTGTCCCAAATGCGAGATTGACAACCACCCCAACAAACACTGCCAAACCCTTTCGCCAGCTCCAGACGCCCTCCTCGCGCCTCAACCACATCGCACACCCCACTGGCCAAAAGAAACCCATGACAGCGCCCCAGAGCATATCATCCATAGCCCCTCGCGACCCCGACCCAAATCCCCCATCATCATCCGTGAAACCCGCTCCCTCTCCAGCCCCTCCAGCCCCAGCTGCCATTGCCGACGAGCCCTCGTCCATCCACCGATCCTCAAGCTCCCGCAACTCCGCCCCACTCGGCATGGTATCTGGCGTTCGCGACACGGACTGGATAGCCATAAACTGCGACCGCAGCGCCGACACTTCAGCAGGGGTAAACCCCGCTGACAACAACCGGTCAAAACCACGGGGCGCAGGCGTCGTCGAGGAAGTCTGCTGCTGCTGCTGACTCTGCAGATTTGACTGATCACCATCTTTCTGTGTCTGACCCTCTTGCTGGAGCGTAGATGCCAACGATGCTTCTGTCGCTAAATCTGTAGCGGAAAGGACGATATCGCCTATCGAACAATGAATGTACAGACGGGGTTGTTCTCGGACGGGCGCTTTGCCCTTTCCCTTTGCCTTTGAGAGATCGGTGTCTTCATCGTCGGAAGGTAATCTGGGTGAGCGGGAGGGTGAGGGGGGTAGTTTCAGGGAGACGGAAAGTGGGATGGTGTCTTCGAGACCGCGGCCGGCGTAGATTAGTCGGAGACGATGGGAGGAGAGGTTTGGTGGGAGTCGGGTGCGGATTAGTTGTTTTAGGCCTGCTGATGTGGTTGTTTCGGGGTATAGAACATCGAGTGGAAGATCGGGGATTGAGGCTGAGAAGCGGATAGTGAGGAGAAGAGGGTCAGGTGTTAGATCCTCCCCGGAATTGTGCTTCGGGGATAAGAATGTTGGTGTTGTCATTTTGTTCATTGAATTATTTTAGTTGGCGGGGGGTATGAAATGTTCAATGGTTGCACGAGAGTCGAGTGTTGTCGTATAGTAGCAAGTCGAGAGGTAAATGATGGTACCTGCGGAGGGTCCAGTCAGTGGGCTGATTCCCCATACTCGGCGTACTTCCCGATAAGGGCCCACGTGATGCCGGGTTTGTTGTAAGAGGGAATACAAAGTATTCTGTATTCTGTACCTGTCACTCTTCTCGGGGATCAGAAGCTAGAATTCCTGTTTGTCCTATATGGTTTCTAGTGTTTCTTTTGTGGAGTTCTAAGTTTCCTCCTATTCATGTTATGCATCGATGGCGTACAGCGGTATTCGATAGGTCATGGCGGGAAACTCTCGCGGAGAAGCGGAAAACTTCCGTTTAACATACCCATCTGATATCAGAAGCTTCCAGAGCAAATGAATTTTTATACACATAAAGGAGTGTTTCAAGAGTTTTTTGTCATTGAATTTGATATCTTTATTGATATTAAACAAAGGGAAAAGCGAGCACAGAGTCACTCAGCACGCACACTGCGCATGGGTTGAACAGCCAAGGTCAAGTCCTTGACATACAGGATGAAAAGAAAACAGTATGTATTACACGATGTGGGTTGTATAACCCGGGAATCACTGATGTATTCAACAAGGAAAAAGGGGAGACTCGATAATCCCAGGAGAGAACAATCCGTAAGAACGCCGTCCGATGCACCGTTGATAATTCCAAAAGGCCGTAAAAGAAGATCAGAATCGTAATCTAAACCATGAAGGATTCACCGCATCCACATGATTCCTCTGTTGAGAACATGTTAGCGATCATGGTTTCACAAACAGTAAGGGAAAAGAGAAGTAACTGGGAAACATACTGATATTTGGGTTCTTGAAGATGAATCTCCTGCTCAATTTATCTTCTTGCCAATCCATCTCGCTACCAATGATGCTGAACAGCGCCTTGCTGTCAATCAAAACCTTGACGCCATCCTGTTCCACAACTTCATCGAAGGTACCCGGCTTCTCCACGTATTCAAGATGGTAGGCGAGGCCCGAGCAGCCACGGTTCCTTACGCCCACTCGGATCAACTTCGGATCCGGCTGAGACAGTAGCTTACGGAGTTGCACAATAGCCTCAGGTGATAACTTCATGGCCGCTTTCCGTGCACGTAGCTTCCTCCGAGGCTTTTCCGCGGGTTTCGAGGCGGGAGTAGTCGACTCGACGGGCTTGGACTTCTGTGCCTCATTCTCTCTGAGGCTAACATTTGAAAAGACTCCTTGCTGCTGTGCCGATGTGTCTCGGAGCGGAGGGAAGTCTGCCGAGATAGAGGTGTCGTAACTTCCGCCGCTCCGGGGAGGTGGGAAAGCGGTCGGCAAGGAATGTGGGCGATACGCAGTAGCGGTCTGCATGTCGCGCTTGGAAGACCGGTGGGCATTTCCATATGAGGAGAACAGACGATGGGCCGGGGTCTTGTAGGGATTTCTCACACAGCGCAACATCGTTGTGGATGATGTCACTGGAGAGTGAACCGTAACTCTGCAGAAGGACATGATGACTGTAGATATAAATATGAGGTGTTCAAAGGCTCTATGCAATAATAGAAGTAACAAAGCACTAAGTTCTCATAGGATCTGATGTGATCTAGTGGAGAGGGAAAGCAAATTGTCAAGTAGGTTGGGAATTGATGTGACTCGGGAGGTTGAGTTCTGTTTTGAGGCGGAAGAAAGTCAGCAGTCGGTTAAGAGGGTCACCGCAAGTACCCGGCCGGCCAATCACCGTCGAGGTGTTTCTACACAAGTTCAGTGGCGCCACTTCTTGTCATCTGATCGGGATTCTCATATAGTGCCATTTATGGGGTAGATGACATTAGTTAGTCGACAAGTGGTTCGCTTACTTTGCAGGAATGCGGCTCTGTCCTTCAATCTTTTATTAGAAGTGCAATTGTTCTACTGACTTGGATTTTATGGGGAGGAAACCATCAATTACCTTACCGTTAATAAGGTGATTGTCAGCTTGTTCCCGCAGCGGGTACCTCAGGCACGAGCTGAGACGATGACTAATGGGTTTCTCCCACATTCGATCCTCAATAAAGTGGAATGTCACCAAGGTTGATAAGTACCTTCTGGTGCGCTTAGTCAACACCTGGAATGATGCTGCTGCAGTGTCTACGGAGGCTATATTAGTATTGAACCTGGTAATAATGGTAAGAAATGTGTTTCTCCAGGCTGTCAATATTACTAGTAAGTTTATCGCCCCTGACTAGAATGATTATGTCATCGTCAATTGTAACTAGTTAACTAAGTTATTGTATGTTAATTGTTATTGTTTAGGAGAATTGATGGCTTGAAAAATTATATAGGAGTGAGTTAAATAGGATATTAATCAAATCGCCTCTGAGACAACAGAAAGAAGTTTTAGTTTTATATTTAAAAGACCTCAAACAAATGTGGAGCGTTTGGGATGAAATGAAATGTGGCTTGACGGACCAAAGAGCGTGGCTCATGTGGGTTTGAAACCCAAATAGGCAGAAAAAGGATGTGGCCGTTCTTGGGTGCGATACGACGACGACGTGGTTGTAGTGATAGAAACAGTAGAACCCATACTCCGCCTCATTCTTGCCCGTCTGTCTCTTGTCTGATTGTTCTCCTCACTGCGATGCTAGCCGTGGTCCTATGTTCTATGCAGATCATTGAATCCGTCTAACCATCATGGAGTCCCCCTTAACTCAGCAAACTAGACCCGAAACCTTCAAGCCTAAAGTCGTGCAACTATACGAGAACCTATTTCAGGTCCGTCCAGCCACCTCGCCTTCTGGCTTAGTGAATACTAACTTACTCCTTGTAGACCTCGGACTATAATGAACCCTCCGAGGGATTTTGGAGGGAGTTCTTCTTGCTGCCGCCTGATCGGAGCCAGCTCAGCTCTATCCTAGACCAGCTCAGCCCTGATGAAACGCTCCATTTACAGGTAACATCCCACCCATAGTCTTACCCAATCCATAACTTACAGGAATGCTCTTGTTGCGTGCTAACTTTGCACCAGGTTCAAACCCAACAGCTTTTCACCCGGGCCATCCGTGAAGCTGCTTCGAGAGCCAGTCCCGTGGACTCGTATGCACTAGAGGTGCGTATATTCCTAGAAGTCATTGCTTTGTACTTCAACCTCTAAGAAGTGAGGTAGACCTTGATGGTATTTCTGGCTTGCGTCTTGAAGAAGAAGTACACCAACCCTAGTTCGGATGTCATTACCGTTCTTGCAGGTCTCGATCATGTTGACCAAGTTATTTCGAACTTTGTCGCCGTATTGGATGGCATTATTCGCAATGGAAGCAGCTGTAAGTTTCATCAATATCTCCCTGTCATGTTTATGAGCCGGGTCCATGCTAACCGTCTCCTCAGTTGATTTGCGCATCAAGGCTATTAAGACAGCTATCGCCATGACCAGTGGCGCATACAAGACCAGTCTGGTTTCGTATTTAACGCATCGCGATTTATTCCCGTCCCTCATGAAGGTTTGTCCTCAATGCGCATCGACTCTTTTTAGCGTACCCTAGAATATCTAATCTGTCGTACAGTTCGTCCAAGAATCTGAAACTCCAATCCAAGTATTTGACCCATTTCTTCTTCTGGGATTGCTAGCAAACTACAACAAATTTGAGTTCCAAAACCCTTACCAGCTGCGACTTGACGACTTTGTCAATGAGACAAGCATCCAGAAGATTGTCAAGGGAGTCGGGCTCTCGTGCGCTGCTGTGAGGAACGGTTATGTTGCTGTGCAGGACGATGCCCCCGAAGGGTGGACGCTGTTCAGCACATTGGTTTACTTTGGCCTGGGGGCCTTCTCTCCAAGCAAGAAAGACAAAGCCAGCCCACCGAGTGCAGAAGAAGCCAAGGAGATGTTCGCGATGCTGTAAGATAAGAGTGCATCCACCGGATTTGACCAACAAGCTAACAGAACTAGGCCGGCCCAGCAAGCAGCTATCCTTTTGGCTACTTATGACTTCACAAATGCCAACAAACTCTTTGGCCAGAATCTGATCAGCCAAGCCCCAGACAAGGATAATGAAGAATCGCCATTTGCTAGTTTCCTCTCGTTGACATCGTATCTTCTGCACCACGCCTACCGCTCCCCAAGGATAGCGCACTATGCCAAACTCAACCTCTTCACGCTCCGCATCCTCACCGAGGACTCCACCCTCTGCAAGCAACTCTGCAGCGAAGAAAACAAAAGAAAAATCCGCCTCTGTCGCCAAAGACAGCCATATCTACCAGTAGTCCCAGGGGACCGCGTCCTCGCAACAGTCATCTTCGACATCATAATTGATACAATCTCCCACAACCTGCGACGCCGCCTCGATGTCAACATCTACAGGTGCTTCCCTACCAAATCCACTCCCACATCATGCCGCATACTGACCGCATCAACAGCCACTCAATCGCGATCCTCCTCCGCCTCCTCACCTACCTATCCATGAACAAAATCCGCCTAGTGTACCACTGGTCGGAGCTCTGGCGCAACCTTCTCTCGCTCATGCGCTTCCTAACAACCTACGTCACCGACCTCGCATCCAACCCTAACATCACCACCCTGACCACAACCCTCGTAGACCTAGTCGCATTCTGCGTCTCCGCAGGCGACACCTTCCTCCCCGACCCTTCCTCGTACGACGACCTATTCTACAAACTGGTCGAGACAGGCCCATCATCACCAAATACCGCGACGTGTATTCTCTGAAACCAGCCAGCTCGAAGCCCACAGACCCGAACCCATCCAAAGACGTCCACGTTGCGGCCATCGACACCCTCATTTCCGTCTCAACCCACTTCTACACCCTGCTGTTTAACCCGGAGCAGACTGATGCGAAGCCCGATGGTGATGGCCAAGGCGTGGCGCCTATCCCGGCGCACCGGAAGAAGAACCTCGGTCCCAGAGAGGTTCATCGCATTATCAAGCAAGGGTATGATACGTTGAGCATTCAGCCGCCGGAGGGGCTGAGCGCTTGGACTAGGTGGCGGGAAACGGATGCGAAGACGGAGCTGAAGCAGGCTGCCAGGTGCGTTGTTGAAGATGCGAGGCAGCTGGTTGTGTAGATAGTTTGCTTGGTTTTGGTTTGTTCGTTGGTGTGGCTTGAACTTGTGTCGAAAGTGCTATTACTTCTGTGGTTTCTATGGGAACTTGATACAGAATGCCCCATGATATCTGTACTTATTTTGGTCTATGAAATCAAACTTGATGACCAAAGCAAAGAAGGATTAGAAGACTAAACCGTTCCATAACATTCGCCAATTTCCTCTAATGTTACAAAGTGAACCGTTAGAAGCCATAACTCGCGTAAAAAGCTAATTCCTCCCATGCTCCTGAAACCACCACAGTGCTGTGAATAAAAAAACGAAAAGGAAATGTTCTTCAGAAAAAGTATAACAATTTACCATCATGCAATGTCACCGTGTGTGAAAAGCAGTCAATGTGTACTGAAGCCTTAAACCCATTTACACCAAACGTGAGGTAGCAGTGCCAGGATTGGGGTTTGCTACACCCTTAGACTTTTCGACATATTCATTGCTGGCAGTCATATATCTAGTAGCAAAGTACTGGCTAGAGTGTTTGCTCAACCAGAGAGTGAACTTGGAAAGCTCCTCGCGGAGTCTGTTAGTAGATTGGAGATCCATATTAGTCTGCGCAATTAGTTCAGGCATGGTAGCTAGATATGATCAGTGGCAATCTTCAACATATCATAGAGAGCATCATACCGAAAAGACGAGTCAAGTGCTCGGCACCATAGATATCCAAGGGACCTTTGTCGGCGAAGTCTCCCGATCCCGATTCCCACTTCTTGCGGAGGTTTCGGTACTGTTCGCGTTCAAATCTGTAAAGAAGGATCTTATCAAGGGCTTTGTCAAAGTACTCCTTGATTCCCATAATGACCTCCTCAAGAACATCCAGATCAGCCGAGCTTGTGCGCTTGGGCTTCTCTGCCTCAGAATAGTCTTCCAGGATTTGATTAACCGAGCGCTTAGCCGGCAAAGCCACGACTTGCTGGTTCTTCGTCACGTTCTCCCAATCATCGACCAGAAGCGACTTCAGATTGTCTGGCATAACAATCCTCACTGATGGTCGTACATAAAAGCTATCCTCCTGGGAGCGTTTTTTGTCAGTCTAATCGCCTCGAGGAGCTACGAGTCCCAACCCAGGTGCCAAGCCTCATCGGTACCATGACCAGGCAATAGCCATTGACAGGGTTTTTAAAATTGAATAGTAAATGCAGCAAGCTCACCTTTTCAATATCGTTGTCCCTGGCTCTCTTGGTTCCGCGGCCAGGAACGGACAGCTGGCGTTCTTCGCTTCCCCGGGCGGAGCTACGATCGGAACCTCCCCTTTTCTTTGCGGAGGCCTTGGTGCTCTTCTGACGGAACGCAGCCTCAGCCTCACGGCGAAGAGTAGTTGCAAGTTCTCTGTTCTCCTCGGTAAATTTACGGAGTCGGTCTTGCGGGACCCAGTCATCCCAGCTAAATGTGGCAAAAAGCCAGGTCAGCCAAATCCATGTACACCCGCCAACGCAGATGGGGGGATGCTTTATCCTCAACGCCCACAGGATGTTTAGAGTAGCCTCGTAACTAGTAGACGAGCGAGGGGTAGAGACAATCTTGCTCATTTAGGCATGAAAGACCGACGGAACACGGAGAACGCAAAACACCGAGGATATACGTACGTGTTTTTCCAGCCCTTGTAATGTACTAGGTACTCATACGGGCTCTTGCGGTCGTCGGGGTCGACGTGTCTGACGTCGAGGATCTTTGCCTCGTACAAAATCTCATGGTGGAAACAGAGCACTCGCTCGTCTTTCTGATAAGTGGTTTGTCCAGCTGGTGCCATTTTGAAGAGGACAAAGGTGAGCCTCAAGGAGCTTTGTGTTTTGGAAAAAAGAGGTGGTGTGCAAAGAAGGGTGAAGAACTTGAACACCAGCCACGGGGTTTGATTCAGAAGGTAGAGGAAGAAACAAGCCTGATGAGGTTCAGGTTGACGTTCCCAATACTGTCGCTGTTCTTCTCAAGACCACGTGCCATGCAATCAATCAATGACCGGGAGAGAAAATTTCTGTGCAATGGGGTTTGAAGATGCAAGTGCCCAGTCTGACTGGCCCTAATTGCACCACTAATGGATTCTCAGACAGTGCGTTATACAATTGAGACTCTGCTGACAAGAACCCTGGCTTCTCAAAGCACTGATATTTTTGACACAAGTGCCCGAGGGATTGGGGAATAAGATGAAGATAGCAAGCGTGGAAGGCTACAAGACAGAGCAACACTGGCCTCCGAGCAATGAGGGTATCTGAGAGGAAAGGGAGAGGCGGAGGAAGTGGAGGGAAATCTGGAGTATGACTTGTGTTGCGCGTGGTTCAGGGAAAAGACCCGAAATGGTAAGAAAGCGGAAGTGGAACTTAACGCGTGCTGAAAAAGGGCGAACTTATCGGCGAAAGGAACGTCTTCATTTCAACCCATTCCCCCAACCTTCACCACCATCGCCCCTTCTTCTCTGATTTCACCATTCTTCTTGCTCGAGTCTGCAACAGTACTCTTTACTGTACTGACCTACACGGCTTGAAAATACCATTTTCCTTCTCTTAAACCCCCGTCATCAGTTGCTTCCGCAAAGACTGGTCCGATTGGTCCAAGGCAGTCTGGACCCTGAATGCCACACAGGCCAAGAATTATCATCCATTAGAGATCCCAAGAGCTCCCGAAGGAAGGGAAAGGAGAAAAGAAACCTGGTTCTCCTTAGATCTTCACTTTAAATTGCATATTCCAGTAGCAATTCGCGATCATGGCTCCGTCAGAAGCATCCATTCTAAGCAATTTCCTTCTATCTCCAGCTTCTTTGCCCACAATTATCTCCCTGCAACAATTCACGGAACTCTTTCCAAAGCGCCTGCGCTCTCATCCACATATCAGAGCTCTTTACCGCGAGCTGCAGCAACTCCGAGAGCAAGACATGGATTTGGTCAACGGAAACATTGACCAAGAACTCCGTCAAGGGGAGAGCCAAAAAGCAGAACTTCGCAAATCCATCCTAAACACCGGCGTGGATGGTATGAGCGCCAATGATCAACGCGAGATTGATATGGATGTCCAGTTGTTTGGCCAGACATCCACCGCTGCGCCCAGCGATTACCATTCAGTGTCGAGTCTCCTCTCCGCGATGGAGACAGCCTGTGCTAATATTGAACACGAAATTTCTGGCGTTGATAAGGACGCAAGCACTCTTCTTTCAGAGCTTAATCTCACAGTAGGTGAATTGAGTGATCTGCGCTACGGCAAAACGCAAGGTCCTCTTGGGACAACAAGCGAAGACATGATGAATGAAACTATCGATGGCTTGGAACATCTTGAAAATGCCTGCTACCGTAAATCGTGATGACAGCCACCGTGGCACTCCGAATTTGCAGCTCTCCATGCATGAGTCCTTGGTGTGCTGCTTAGGGCTTTGCAGAATCTTGTTATTGCCTGGTCAGGGCGATGAAGGATGTCTGTAACTTCTTTATGTTCACTATCTTGGAAGAAAGCTTCTGTATAACATTGCCGGAGGCTCGGTCTGGGATATGAACTTTTCTGGCTTTTGATCTCCCTCAATTGGCACCTTTTATCACGGTATTTACTGTTCTGTTGGTCAAGTTGCGATACCTTGTGCGGCAGCACGGCCTAGAAAAGCCTCGGGAAGAATATGGAGAGTGAATAAACTCTATGCGGGCAATACCGATGATTTACGGTCTCTACCAGGCAACAATGGGTGTTACTTTCAACCTGCTGGCTCCTCACGCTTCAATGCCTGCCCCCTGGCTCTTGACTTTCTCGTTGCCAGTCTATACTTGTGTGGTCAATGATTTCACAAGATGTCCAGCTTCTCTGGACGATTCAGCTCAGCAAGCGCATAACCAGTTATATGCATTTAGAACTTCGGCGCACTTTTGGATGGTTGGTTAATCCCATTCAACGGGCAAGGTACAATTGAACAGAATGAAGGAACTGACAACCCGCTATGTGTAGTAATCTAACCCATGTTTTATTCTGTTGATAGGGTCTTCTATGTTTGAGGTGATGGTGGATTCTACATTGAAATACTTGAACGTGTGGGCGAACAGTTGTCTTGAATGGATGCCCAGGAAGGATTCCTTGTTCGCTGTGTGTTCACAATCAACAATTGGGCCTTCTTATCATGGCCAATTGGTGAACAATACGCCAGCTAGCAGATGCTTCAGCGCCGTCTGTCCTGGACTCTTACCATAATGCAGCCGGGTTTTTACACCCTAGGCCCGTCAGAACATGGCAGAGCAACGGTTAATAACAATCTCTACTGAGATCTGCAGTATACTTCAATAGCAAATAGGTATCATTAGATGGATCAAGACATATAATTGCCCGATTACGGAATTCTGTCAATTGTCAGCTGGGAGGTTTAAATACAATGATATCGAGAGCTATGCTCAGATATTCTCCGGGCAGACAGCTTACCAAAACAGATATATTCAATTTGAACAAAACAGGACATTAGGAGCTTGTCGCGCTCTCTGGATGCGCCAATGCCCTAAGAAAGTATTCGCAACCAAGCTTATGAGAGTAGAATGAGTATTTCCCTTCGGTTGGGCCCAAGCCTCTCCCTCAAGGAAATGCTTTATCTCTCTACTAGGCAACCATTTTCTATTCTTCAAGAATCGATTTTACAAGAATTGGGTTAATGTATTCCACTTTACGCCTTTCTTACTACATGATGATGGAGTCCCAAAAGGAAATACTTAGGGCCATGGACTGATAAGATTGATAAGTGGAGAACCGCCGAAACGCGTTAAATCGCGTCTCCGAATCTCAGCTCTCCACCACTATTCGATCATACTCTTCATCCAAACTGCAGTAATTCCAGGAATACAAAAATTTATATACTTGCAGACCAATTCTCCCTATATATCTTTCTGAGGGAAAGCTACAGCATCAAAATCGGACGCACAATGCCAACAATCCCGCTCCACCCACGCGTCTCCTCTCCCACATCTCTCCCCAATCCCCTCCCCCAAGTCCTCCAGACGCCAACTGGACTCGCAATCCTCGAACTCCAAGGGACGATCAACCTCCCATCGCAAGAAGCTGAAGATGAATCTACGAACCCAACCAACGATACCCATGATCCCTCAATCCCCACATTTGAGACCCCAGTTGGCAAGCTCATGTTCCCCGATTATTCGCCGCACAGGACTGCGCCTGATGACACTAAATGGATGAAGAGGGTCTATCTATATGTCGGTCGATACCAGCGCATGACGGGTGAGGTGAAGAAACTGGCGCAGCCGCTCGCTTTGGTGCAGCGGCGGCAAAAAGAGGCGACCTCTGACTCCGATGGCGAGGAACTGGAGATCGTCGAGATCATCAAGTATAAGCTGTTCTTCAAGAATCGGCCCGAGCCTGTCAATAATATTTGATTTACATCGGCTTCGGACTGCATTATGAATCGGGTAGAGGGTCGTCTAGACTGGTTGGTGCCTTGGATCCCGTGGTGCCGTATGCTGGCAGACTCGCGACGTCAATATCTACGCGGGCAAACACTGCTGTTTGCTCCCAAAGCTGAACTGTGCCCTTCTGTCTAAAATGCGGTCGACGACAAAGAGCAAAGGAGCAGTCGGCAGGAGTGTTGCGCTTGGCTTTAGCCTAATAGGCTATGGCATATTACGCCTCCGTGTCCTCCGTACAGGACTACTACTAGGCACAAATTGTCTACTACCGCATCCAGAGCTGCGACTCAACTGGGACAATACAATGGCATACCGGAGAAACCGCCTGTCCTCCCCGACGGAATCTACAGTCAAAACCACCACTAGTCCATTGGCTCTTTTGGTGTATACGCCCGCTCAGTCATAATTAAACACGTGCAAGTAACCCGATGGGACCCAAAACAAATCAAGGTTCAAGCCATCTGAATAGTCTCAAGGTACATCATGGAGGGGCACCGCAGCGTCCCTGATTCCGCGGGATCGACAAAAGATATACCCGGACGGAAATTTACGTCCCAAAACGGACTTTATTCCGCACTATCGCTGCATGAAAGTATCAATTCAAAGCAAGGAAAACAAGCCACCATGTTATCACTATTCTCAGTATCATGCAATGCAATATCTACATGTTTATCCAAAATAGATCTCATCGAGTCTTCCGTACGCGCAAATAAGAAGCAACCGCAGCATTGGCAATCTCCATCCGACTCCAACCGATATCCGAACTCCCGTCGGAAGGGAAACGACACAGCTCAATCCATTAAGTTTCACGGCCAACTATAGGAAAAGAACCAAGTAGAAATCCGCAATAATAACTGGGTCCAATACAGTACGTTCTAAACTCACCCAATTACCCCGCCTTACGCGTCCGTGGATGCACCGCCAATCATAAATCCGTCCCCGGCGGAAGAGTATATATATACTCGACCATACATCCTTTCTTTTCTCCCTTCCGTAGATTTATATCCAGAACGTCGCAAACCACCACCACCTCTCTATAAACCTACATTCTCCTACCTGTTCCCAGTACCAACGCCCCAGCTACTATAAACCGCCCCACCAGACGAGGAAATACTGGAAAATGGCCCCCATCGAACGCATCACGCTCTTCAACATCCCCAATGAAGAAGACCGGAACCGAGTTCTCGAGCAATACAAGGTTCTAGCGAAGACGGCGACCAAGGTAAATAGTCTTCGGCTCTTTGCGGCTGCCTCGGTGTTTATATAGAGTGGTTGTTAACGAGAACTTTTGTGCAGGACGGCAAACCGTACATTGTTGCTGCCGCAGCGGGACACTCTTTCCCGGATCCCCGCAATAAAGGATACACGCTGTCCGTCAAGACAACGTTCGCTTCGATGGAGGATATGAAGTACTATGATAATGAGTGTGAGGCGCACAAGGCGCTGAAGGCTGTGGTTGGGCCAGTTAAGGAGGATGTTTTAACTACGTACTATGAGAGTGTTCTGTAAATGATTATGGATTTCTTTTCTTGATTTTCTTTATTTTATTTTATTTTATTTATTTTATTTTTTGGTTCGAGGTTGGACGGGGGCTAGATTGCAAGCCCATAACCTTGAATAGCATGTATTCATGACATATACTGCATAAGTTAGGATCTCTTATTCTGGTAATCAAGAAAATATCCGCTACACTAAGTCAGACACTGAAAGCATCAGAGGGATCAAACAGGGCAAGACCGGATGTGGTCTGGAAATGATCAAGTCACTCATAACATGAAATCGCTTCATAAGATGCCTGCTCATAAAAAATCTCGGCACGCTGCCGAGAACTCGCGCTGCGTTGGAAAGGAAACATGATGATACAACAAGCATTTGTCCTTGCCAGAAGGCCTCGAAACGGACAAATCCTGAGCCGCTCCGTCAAAGAAATGTACATGCAAGTCGGAGACCAGGGAAGTGAAGATTACAATCATTGAAACCAGCCAGATGAGGAGGCCCTTCACATTTGGACAGGTGAAATGTACAATAAAAAGCTCACACAGGAGTGGAATCTAATCGAGGGCCTTGCGGAGATCGCTCCATTTTTGTTTCAGATTCTCGTGGTCTTCATGGATCTGCAGCGAACAAACGTTAGATCGTACTTCCAAAAAGGCAAGTATGCGGTGCGGTTTACCTCTGCCCACTTCATCTTCGCCTCCACGAGTTCTTTTTCCATTTCCGCCATTTGCTCCACCATTGACCGGTTTTCGTTCTGAACCTCCATGTTGCGCTTCATGATGCGATCCATCTCGGTTTGGAGCTTCTCTTCGACCTCTGCTGGCTGTTGGTCCACGACAATCTTCAGGTTTTTGACCTGCATATTCAAGGCGTCATTCAGGTCAGTTAGCTCTTCGTTTTCTACTTTGAGATGGACAAGTTCAGAAGCAAGGTGGACATGCTCTTTGTCCGACGCCTCGGCTTGTTCTTCCAGTAATCGGATCCGGGCACTCTGTGTGGCTACCGTATGCTTGAGGTTCTCTAGCTCCTGTTCGCGTTCTCTTTCAGTCCGTACTTTTTCCTCCCATTCCGCCGTGTAAGCACGAATCGTCCCACGATCAAGAGGAACAGCACAGGCATCCTGGACCAAGAGGTCCGCGCGATACACTTCCTTGTCGGCAGCCCCCGAGCTGCCGAAGAACCCAGACTCGAGGATCGACGACGCTGAGGGTTGTTTGTCAATGTAGACGTCGAACAAGCGCTCCTTGAGGAACGTAGTCAGTGGAGTCATGTCCTTCATACCCAGAAGCGCCTCGGAGTTTCGATGCATAATGGCGATCGCAAATTTTAGGATTGTATTTTCAAGTCCCTCATCAAGAATGAGATCGTAGATGCGGAGAACTAGTTGTAGGGGGAAGCGATATGCGAAAAGAGTCAGGAACCACTGCGTGGCATACAACTGCGGGTGTACCCCTCGCCGGCGAAGGTGGCAGTATAAGGCAGGTTCCATGTCCTCGAGCAAGCGTTCGAAAAGGAAAAGGCTGCGGTGCAAACCAGGCATATCGTGGATGAACATCTCCCGTAAGCCATAGTGATTCATCAACTTGACCAGCAGTGTGAATGCTTCGGCCTCATCCATCTACAAGGAATGTATGTTAGCATGGGGCCTTTCTCGAGGCGTGCATTAAGATCACTTACATTAAATAACAGTGGCATAACAATGAAATTCATGCCCTGCGCATAACCCACGGCCTCGTCGTACAGAGCGTACGCTTTACACAAACCAAACAGACCTTCCTGGTTCCCTTGCGACACAAAGTAGCGGGAATAACTTGTGCGAGCACCCAAGTCCCGCCGAATAGTCTTTTCCAGCTTCTGCAGAGCCACACCGTCTTCCTTCTCCTTCTTTTTCCGAGCCGCCTCGCTCGTAGCCTGCTCTTTTGCCAGTTTTTCGGGGTCCACTTCGTGTGAAGGGCTAGGGGACCCGTTGACCGAATGCGCGGCCGACCCAGAATGTTCGGAGCGGATGGACGATCGAGATGAAGATGCGGACTCTTTGTCTCCATTTGTCGTGCCATTAGAAGTCCGGGCCTTTTCCTTTTCTGTGCCACGCGCAACCAGTTCCCGATAAACTTCTTCGAGTTCGGGGTTTCTGCTGTCAGCCAGGACTTGCCAGATGACCCCTCGAATGGTCTGCGGGATTCCTCGTTTAATGGCGGCGTTCAACTCTTCAGAGTTCGCGCCCTTCAGCGCCTGGGGACCACCGTTGACTAGTTGCTGCCATAGTTCCCAATCGACAGGTGCCGCTGCGTCAGTTGCGGAGGCTGAAAATCCAGAGACTGTTCCCGGGGCGAGATTTGGATTCACCGTCGCTGACACATTGGGCGGCGAGGTTGCTGTTATAGCTGCGGAATCGTTCTCGCCTTCTTCTGGGATGCTGGGGGGCGGGCTTCCTGCGGGTTGACTAATGCTTGCACGTCCTGACGCGACACTTGCTTCGTCATTCTCCGAAACTAACCCTTCATCCCGCATTCTGAGCATTTTAAACTGATCCTTCAAGCTGTTACGAGCCGGCTTTCGAGACCCCGTACTCGCACCATCCTGATCCTCACCATCCTGTGTTCGGCCGGCCATTTCAGGATTACTGGAGATTGTGGATATAGAAGCGGCCGTGCTCCGGCGACTATTTTGAGGTGGTGATTTCGTCTCTTTGCTTCCCGTCGAACTCCGAGTAAGCCAGGCAAACGGGCCTGTGAGCTTTCGAGCTGGTGGTGGTGGCGGTGCAGCAGGGGCTGTGTTCTTGATCACGGGAGGAGCAGGATCTGACAGGCGAGGATTCTGAGCCGACATCGACTCCATAGAGGATAATGGAGGAGAGCTAGGGGTGTGGCCCGGGCTTATATCATGGTTGTCGAAGGACTCATCATCTTTGTTGTTGCTAGCGAGATTCACCTCGGCGAGGGAAGTGGTAGACAATCGGTGAGCCGTCAACAGTGGGGATTTCTGTAATTTTTGTTTGCGAGGCGTTTCCTCCGCTTCCGACCGTGTATCCGAATGAGCATCAACTGTCTCTCCATTTGTCTTCACTTCATCCTGGTCAGCGGTTGGCAGCGAGGGCGCATCGGTTAACTGAGGTGTGGTAGCCGAAGCGCTCGGGGGACTGTCTGTCAGGGAGCGGGTGGAGGAACTCTGGGGAATCGACACGGTGAGATTATTTTGAGATGTTGGAGCTTCCAGGGCATCGTCGAAGGTATCCTGGCCAAAGAGTCAATGAGTTTAGATTCCTGAAAACCATGGAGCGCTGGTAGTATCTTACTCCTTCATAGTCTCTGCTACTCCGTCTAGACATGATGAACCGGAGCCCCCTGGGGCAGTTGAATAAGTCTGTTCAAGATGTTCAATCGAAAATTTTAGGATCACAGTCGGTATTGGAATATAAAAACAAGGTATAAAGGGTGATCAGAAGAACGGGAGGGCCATGGCAAGCAGGGGGAAGGAGGTTGTAAGACAGAGTGGAAGCCACCACGCGGTTCGGTTTAGTTGTTTAGTTGACGGAGAAGGGGTTGGATATGGAATGGGCCCCAACAGCCACCAGTGGAAATGGGCCACTTGAAGGGGGTGTCAAAAGGCAGAAGGAATTTCGCTACGAAGGATTCAAGATAAAAATATCAAATAAACCAAGACACTAAGGTTCGGGGTATATGACTTTTCTGCAGACTTGGTGAATAATTTTTGATTTTTGATTTTTTCTTTTTTTCTCTATAGTATGTATGGTGTGTTATTGAGGAGACTCGACAACTTCCGCTATTTCAATGGAATCTTTGGTAACGTTGGTTGATTTGCTGGTGAAAGCTTGGCGGGTCTAGAGTTCCGGTCAAACGTTATAATCAATGCGTACTTTCTTTTCCCTTTTGTTTCTTTTTTGATTTTAAATATTATTTGATTGTTCTTTCGCTTCCTTTTCACTATCGATGATCGCCCTGTCCGGATGTACATGCGGTTCAAATTCCAATGTTGTATGTATATACCTCGTATTTCGACTACTAGTTTAGTATCTACTAGTAAGTATCAAATGTTGTAAGTAAACATTCCTGAAACTCCCCTGAATTTCGCTCATCCACGGATGAAAAAAACCTATTGGTCCCCACAGCCCAACTAAACACTCCTACTATAAGGATCCTCCAAACTAAACGACCGGCTAACCACCACCAACAATTCGGCCTATAGGAATTACAGGGAGTTGACCCGATGGAAAGGTAATTCCGCACTTTGCGTTCTATGATATGTTTATACAGAAATAGTGAAGTAAGGGGGTGCTCCCCTATCTGCAGAGTGAACGCTCAAAATCCAGCCACCGTCCACGCCGAAGCGGGTCTATTTTCTTCAACTCCGAGATCCAGCTCAAAACCTTTTGTTGATCGCCGCTGGACATGGTGCCTTCAATTTTCGACGCCAACAAGGTACAGTCGATTAATGCTTGGTAGATATACTTACAATCCTCCGCCCCGTCCAGCATATCCTGAATCTCCTCGATCTCTTGGCGAACATAGTTCAACCGCTCCGACGGACTGAGGTTCGGTGCCATTGTCTGCCCTGATGTTGCTGGGTCAAATGTGCACATTAAGTTTTGGTGATAAAACCATAGTGACTGGTCATATGGGTCACACAGGGCGCGATGGATAAGCTCCAGTTCTTAGTTGCATTAGCGAAGAAAGCGATCATTTCTTATGTAAGACAGAGAAACGTACCGTCATTGAGCATCTTCCTTCGTTCCGCATCAGTGGCTGATTTCTCATTGAGCAATCGCTGGATAAGCTTCGTCCGATAATGCCACGCGGAAAAGTTAGAGAGATTGGTCCCAATCATCTTCTTCGCATACTCGAATTCTGCTTGCGCCATACTCTCCCCCTGTTCTTCGGATGCCAGTGTTTCTAACGTGTCCACGACAACTCGTCGGTAGCCCCAGCCATGGAAGTTTCTGCTGTCTAGGCGAAGCATTTTGCCCACAAGTGCTAACTCTTCTTCCCAAATTCTTCGGGAAATGGAGAGCGGCAGCAGGCGTTTAGCTTCATCTAGGAGCCATAAACGATAGTTCCAAATCCAGTAGCATTTGGGAAAGCTGCGCAGTAGCGGCATCAGGAACAGCAGGTCATTCTTGATTAAAGTAGTTATCTGATCCGCTGCAGCTTCAGTCGAGTCGCTTGATGCAGCCTGTGTGAATTCGTGCCGCAAAACCCGGCGTCGATAGTTCCACACCGTGTAGTACTCCGGGTTTTTGGTCAACAATTCGGAGATATTTTGAAGTGTTTCAGGCGTATACTGCTGTTCTGCAATCTGGATTACCTATCAGAATGCCCAGTGTATTCTGAGGAATCGAAGCGGGTATACCTTCGCACGAACTAGCCGATCCAACTCCTGGTATTTTTCTATTTTGCGAAGCTCTTGCTGACGAGTTTCTTCGGATTTCTCCTTCGAGCTGTAGCGGGGTATCCCATGCTGCCGAACCATCCATCAGTAGGTGTGGGGTATGCAGAGGGAAGATTAAAAATTACGCTGGCCATGTTGACCTGTTGTCTATCTATGCAACACCTGACTAGTTGAGACGTGTCAACACCAGAAAGGTATGGTTTTCTCAGGCCTACCAGTAAGGAGAACGATGGAGTAGAAGTCACGGCTGTTCGACTCCGTTTGAAGTGCTTTCCCTATCGGGACGTCACGTGCCGTGTTATACTACATCGGCCTCATCGAGACGAGATCACTGTCTACTTTCCTTCAGCCTCCAACTTATCTACTGTCTATCAAGGGATATGTTATCGCATTACAACCCAATAGTTTTATACTCAGGGTCTAGGTTTCTATGATCTGGACCCGTACCTCCATTCTTTTCTTAACTTCGAAGCATTCCAGAGCTGACCATAGCATTCAATTATTACGTCTATTACAGGTTGCCAACTGCAACAGTTGGGCGTCGCTATAGCAATGATAAGCTCTAGATGCCGTGTATTGCAGAAGCGGGATCCTCACATGGAAAGCAGGCCGTCAACGCCTGAGCTCATCTCAGACATCTCTAGTGATGACGACTCTAATCTATCAGTTGACCGCGCTATTACTCCACCGCCCCTCATAGGGCCTGTCACTCATTGTACAGCTAATCTAAGCAGCACTACCTCGCCTTTTTCAGGGGGGTACAAAGGTCCTCGTCCAGTTTCTCATCCTGCGCCTGTGGCGATCAAAAGACACCATACTGTCTGCAATTCAAAATACCCACCTATAGAGGTGGATGGTGTTGCCAAACAAGCATTACCGTCTGCCAGAAGTCAGCCTAAGGCTAAAAGGTGTACCCTAACTAATGCAAATGGCGACCTTTCGAGATCTCCAACCTCGCCGGACAGGTTCATACCCGTTAGGCAATTTATGAATCCACCGTCGACCTTGTTTCGTGTTGGCAAAAGCCCTCGGGAGTTATCCCCTGAGGAGAGGTTTCTGCGCCATCGTTCACAGAGAGAAGATCCATTTATGCCCACACGTCCAAGACGGTCTGTTACCACTCCCGGCGTACCCTCAAGACGTCCACTACGACTGTACTATGGACCCCGTTTTATCGATATTCCGGCCATCGCAGGGATCGATAGCTCATTAAATCTAGAAGCCGGGTTTAGGCAAGTGACTAATGGGGCTGTCTGGCATGTTGGTGGAGCATCTGCTGCCGTATGCAGACGATCTAGAACAGCATCTAGTCGTTCTGGGGGGGCTTTGACAAGTGGAACAGCTGCTCCCATGTACAATGCTAGTTTCTTGCCGCCTGCAGAATCGACTGAGGAACAATCCAAATACGAGTCAAGGGTAGCTCTTGCACTGGATATTGACCCAGCAAGAACCCTTCTCAACAGTCACCACGGTTGGCCACTACTTGAGTCTACCCCGGCTCCATTCTCTCCCCTCTACGAGCGATTCTCGCCATTGGTCTGGAAAGACAATGCATGGAAGAAGGCAGAGAAGGATAGGTGTAAGTACAATTTATCTTCTAATTGCAAATGATGCTGCATGGTTACCGGCCACTCATGGTCTCTCTAAACCATCTAACCCCATTCCACATTTTAATAATAGGGAGTACTACGCCTATACCAAGGAAAGACAGCGGAAGGATTGTACCAACGCTACCGTTCCGTATACTAGACGCACCCAATCTCCGCGATGACTTTTATTGCTCAACACTAGCGTATTCCACCACTTCGGGGATTCTTGCCGTCGGCCTTGGCCACCATGTTTACCTTTGGTCTGAAGCTTTTGGCGTACAGTACCCACCTTTCACTGACCAGCATCCTTCGAACTACGTAACCTCTTTGTCATTCTCCTCGGAGAGTGGAGAGAAAGGCATTCTGGCTGTTGGCAGACGTTCCGGTACACTCAGCCTTTGGAGTGTTTTTGATTCAGAGATACGCTTTGAAATCAATCATCCTTATACAATCACTTGTGTTGCATTCAAGCATGTGAAGTCGCGCAGAATATCAGAGAGATTCCAAAACGTTGAGGTAGATACAGAAGATCTTGCTATCGGCGATGATTTGGGTAATATCTGGTACTACTCAGTTGAGTGGCCTGACGATGAGATCCGGGAAGATTTTGACTGGCAAGGCTCCATGACCCTGATTGCCAAGATATCGGCCCATACGCAGCAGGTTTGTGGCATATCCTGGTCTCCAGACGGAGTGTTTCTTGCTACTGGTGGCAATGATAATGCGTGTATGTTATTCGATCTGCAAGATATCATTCCCCCAAGAGAATTGGGCATAACCTCGAAGTACCCGAATGCGCTAGGACAGAATCGTCTCAACTCATCAATGGAGAGCACCCATCAACAGCTCTTACATAGACACTACATTGATCGCAGTATATCTACATCTTCCCGTTCTGGAATCGCGCCTGTCTCAACAGGTCTCCTCAGCCGTGTGGGATCACTCATCTCAGATCGCGACCGAACGGTCATAGTGCCGCCAAGCTATCAGAAACATCGGCTTGTTCATTCTGCGGCGGTTAAAGCAATAGCATTCGCTCCCTGGCAGCCATCTCTTTTGGCCACTGGTGGGGGCTCTAATGACCGCGCCATTCACTTCTACCACACGCCGTCTGGCGCATGTTTGGCCACTATCAACGTCTATGCTCAGGTGACTAGCCTTATATGGAGCAAGACAAGGAGAGAGATTGTCGCCACCTTTGGCTTCGCCCAGCCAGAGCATCCGTTCCGAATTGCTGTCTTTGCCTGGCCAAGCTGTGAGCAGATCGCTGCAATCCCCTGGGGCCCAAACGGTAGTAGTTGGGATCGTATAGAGAATGAGTCGAATGTTGACTGCGGCCGAGCCCTCTGTGCGGTTAGCTACCCCTGCAGGCCTCCTACTTATGTGCTTGATAAATTAGACAGTCCCGATGGCTCCTCCATATCTAGCCTAGTGAATCAACTGAGGCTGAACAGGAAAGGAGGAAGTGCACATTACCGGCAGGCAGTTGTGCGGCCTAGGGCCAAAGAAGGAGGCCTCTGGTGTCCACGCACGGTCGAAGAAGGATGTATCATTGTGGCTTCTAGTGACCAAAGTGTCAAGTTTCATGAAGTGTGGAGCAGTGGAAGAAAACAAAAGGCTACAGCTTCTGGGCCATACGGTGGCAGTGAGATCCTCGAGGGTATCGAAGGCCTAGAAGCCCCAGGAAAGGAAGTCATTCGTTGACGTTAGAGCTTCGGCATGCAGAGCTTCCTGCATCGTTGGCAACTATATCCTTAGTCCGTTGGCTTATCATGCCATGCATGCATCCTTATGGGGCACCGTAATAGACAGGTCATGGCTATAAATATAACATTCTATAAGACAAGGTGGAGCCTACTCGCCTGGTACTGCAGCAGGTCTCAGCCGGAGTCTGGTCCACTTCCTATTGCTGAATATTCTGCAATATTTATGAGAAAGTAGGTCGCATTGTTCGCCTGGGAACCGGGAATGCCATAGCAGGCAAAAACGCCTGTTAACACGACCGGACTGCAAATATCCCGTGGCGGTGCAACGGTCGTCATCGCATCATGCGGGTAAGCGATATATATGGGAGCCAGGAGTAGAATACTAGGAAAGAAAAAAGGGTAGCGAGCAAAAAAGTAATGCGAAACGTCAGCGACAGGATTTGAACCTGTGCGGGCGAACCCAACAGATTTCTAGTCTGTCGCCTTAACCACTCGGCCACACTGACTTCGATGAAGATTAGATAGCGGGTTTTGTTTATAGGAGGTTGCAAATATTTTCAGTGTTACTGATGAAACTATACACTTCCTTTATGAAGATGAACACGCGAGACGGGAGCTCAATTCTTATACTTGGAGCTACTAAAACATGTAGGGTGCTAGGTACTAACTGTCATTGAGCTGGGCAGTTTTGATGTCATTAAAACATCTTGCTATGCTATCATGTCCGTTTGTCTGTAGGGTTGAAGTACAGCGGGAGGAACGGGATGGGTACATTTGCCTGGGGAGATATAGCGACCAGGATAGGGACTGGCGGCGCAATTGTACTCCATACATGGAATGTAGGATTCAGCTTTAGTAATTGTTCCTATACGGCTTTTTTTGACACATATAGTCAAGCAGCTAACAATGATCCGTAACCCAAAGTATATGATGCTTGGACGACTTCGGGGGGTGTATGTACATACATGTGGTAATATCTAGGAACATCTGGCCGATTTACACGAAAGGGCAAGTAGTTCAGTCCTACACTGAGGACAATATCTTATAATACCTGAGTATAGAGCAAAAAATAAAGGGGGGAAAAAGAAATGCCGTCAGCGACAGGATTTGAACCTGTGCGGGCGAACCCAATAGATTTCTAGTCTATCGCCTTAACCACTCGGCCACACTGACAGTTGATGTATTTTCCCAAGATATTTAACAATATAGTCCTGGAAGAAATGTACGTCTACGTTTCTTGTGTGGCTTTGACAACCTATGTACTTCACTAAAAATGTAGGTGATGTCAGTGGATTGTAAATGATTCTGTATGTCTCTATTCAACTCATTAGTTACTGTTACTACCTGTGTTATCACTGGCTTGTCTTCGAGTGTTATCCAGGATAATTCATTCTTGCTTTGTGGTATAGTCTTGTTGGTTGGGGCTTATATATATTTTCCCTGATGCCGACGCAGCATTCGAGAGAAAACATATCCATGAACACACAAGAACACAGCCCCCACCCAAAGGACTTCAACTGAACGAGGCTACCATATCCTACTGTCGCCCAACGCGTAGTGCTCGCGGGGTGGACAGAGAGAGGGAACACAAGTATACAGGTGTTCGTCTAAGAATAAGGAGACAATGTAAGGCGATAGGTCCCAAGACCGAGAAATTAGTAGGTAATAGATGGTAGTAGCAAGCTAACATAGATACTAATGAACAATGTACCCATACATTATACTCGGAGTACATGAAACAGTTTAAATAAATTCTTTTCTCTTTTTGAGCACTTTTTTTCTGGATGTAAGAAACACGGAACTCCAGGAAAAACCACAGAAGAACAGGGTATTAAAATCTAATCTATTTTCTCGCCTTGTTCTTCCCCTTCCCTCCACCGCCTAGCTTGGTCTTCTTTGGTGGCGGCTGGGGAGCTGAAAGGGCTTCATCCTCAGAGTCATCCTCCGTGTCAGCAATGAAATCGGCCACCGAGCCGGCACTCTCGGCGTCATCGTCTTCGTCGTCTTCGTCTTCCTCCAGGGACTCCTCAGCGTCGGAAGAGCCGGCAGACTCCTCCGCCTCAACGTCAAATACATCTTCATTCTCATCGTCATCCTCCTCACTGCCCTCTTCCTCGTCCTCAGACTCATCAATGCCAGAGTGGACGCCGTTCAGCATGGACTCGTCCTCGTCGAAGGTCTGATCGCGAATCAACTTGGTCCGTGGTGTGGCCATATGCTTCGCAGTCTCAGCATCGCTATCCTCCTCCTCAAGCTCCTCCTCTCCCTCAACGTAGATGACGTTGTCTTCATCCTCACTCTCCATTCCCTCCACTCCACTGCGGATGGATTGCCTCAAGCCGAGTTGCGCGTCCAACATATCGAGCTTACCCTTAAGCAGCAGCAAAGAGGACAAGCTTGATGAGCGCTGATCCATAACCTTGTAAAGCGTAGCCATACGCTTCAAAAGATCTGGCTGGCCGGCGAGGGCCCCACCATGTGCGACACATGTCCATTGGATCCACACGAGGAGGTGTCCGTACCGGCCAGGTCGGGCAGAAAGGCGCTCGGCCAGCTTTTGGAGGAGTGTAGCTGCCAGGGATGACTCCAAGCGTTGGATGGTCGTCCGGATAATCGAGAGGTCACCGGTATGGAAACAAGATTCAAGCATGTCGTTATCGTTAGTCTTGAGGGACTGCGTCAGAACAGTGGAGAGCGAGACACCGGATGGAATCTGCTGGACTGCTTTGTTGGGTTTCCCAGGAACAAGAGATCCGATGCGGACATCGTCCTCAAGTTCAGCCTCAACATCGATCTCTGCTGCATTTGCCCGCATGAGCTCGCCAAAGGAAGGTTCGCCTGTCTCGTCCTCATCTTCAGGGGCGGACTCCTCCGCGTTATCCATCTCCACGTCGCTGTCGGTACCGTTCTTTTTGTCTGTTTCCTTCACTTCACCCGACTGCTTGCGTTCCTGGTCGTCATCATCCGAGTATTCATCGCTATCTGAGATAGCGTCTTGCTTGGAGTCTTGCATCTCAACATCGTCATCTACGAGATCTCCTTGCTGTACCACTGCCTTGGACTCATCGACCTGGCTCTCACCTGTCTTCCTTGCACCGTTTGTGGTTACCGATGAGAGTACTGAGTTGGACTTGCTCTTGACAATCTTCTTTGTGCCCGTGAATGCCAACTCGTCGGTTTCTTCATTGAGACAAGAAACACGTTCGAAAATAGGAATGACCCCTCCTTCAGTATAAGCAATGACTAGATCACGGCCCTGAAACGATGCTGTTACCACAGGGACGAGCGCATCGGAGCCCTCGGAGCGCGTGATCTTAATGGAGCACTCTGCCCTCCTGGTCATCTGCCTTCCCTTTGCCTTCAAGCTCTTACTTGCCTGTAAGTCCTTTGGCTGAACGAATGGCCTCATGAAAAGCTCAATTGTACCGTCGTCAGTTACAGCTGCCAGGGCTTGCTTCTCCAACGACAACGAGTCACCTGTCTTCCCCCCGAAGCCGGTATACAATGACAACGAAGATACTTCTTTTTCAGCCACCAGATTCATCACGAGCTTCCGACTCTCAGGATCAAACACATTGATATAACGGTCATTATCGGAGCCGAGGAACAATCCGGCAGAAGCGGACTCAGTGGAGGAGGTGAGAAGAGTGTGGATAGAATTGCGCATAGCGGGGAACGCAATTGGCGCATCATTGTTATCAGTATCTATTAGATATGGCGTTTGAGATGCGCAGATAACAGGTGGGTTGGAGGGAAGCGGGCGCGCCAGACTCGTGGCCGCCGAGGATGAAGGCAAGTTAACTATCCTAGGACGTGATGTTAGACAGGTCCCGAGAATCCCACGATAAGGGTATATGAGCTTACTTTGTGCTTTTCCCGGTGCGCAGATCCCATTGTACGAGTTTGTTATCACCACCGACACTCCAGCCTTCTTGAGCGGGCTTGCCCAAGGTAAATTTGAAATCCTTAACACCTTCATCATGAGCTCCAGCGAGTGTTCCGACAATCTTGTCCTCCGTAGGCGAGTACATCCGGATATCTGAAGTACTGGTACCGAAGGCGACAACTACATCTCCCTGATCGAACCCACCGGCGGAACCATTGACGTCGGAGTGTCGCTTTCTCTTCTTTTTCGACTGTTGATCGCGATCCTTCTGTCTTCCTGGATAGTATCCCCAGTCTAGGGAGGTGACCATCTCCTTAGGACCCAAGACATGCTCGCATTGTAACCGGCCGGTATTCGTATCATGAATTCGCAAATGCTGAGCATCAAGACCCTGAATGACCGACGCGAAAAGCGCCAATTGATATTCAGACGGTGCAAATGATGCCTTTAATATCGAAGATTTGCTTCCAGTGTATGTCAGGCCGGATACCGCGGGCGACGCAGCGGAGGAAGTTTTCGAGGCGGGCGGGCGAGACGTCTTCTTACCCATTTTGACCGAATCTATAAGTGAACAAGAAACAAACAACGTCACAAAACAGACACTAGGTAGTTAAATAAGCCTAGTCCCGCTTTGAGTTTGAGCGACACCTGGATGTTGTGAGTCTGTTGAACTGCAGACTGTCGCCGTCTCTTGGGCGGTGCTGCTGAGAAGGAAAAAAAAGTTCTGTAGAGCCAGTAGATGGCGCTTGCCCTGTTATGGTCTAGCGCCGTATATGTGCTGCAGGCGTCTTATCTAATCGCCCGCCTCTTCCATCACTCTAGTAACTACTCTCTTTCAAGTCATCTTTCCTCCCAATATATGCGTCGGTCCTCGACGTGTCCGCAGAATGCTGAATCTGCCTGCCTAGGCTTCGCATGTTTCATGGTGTCACTTCCTCTCCCCCCTGTAATCAAGCACCTAAGTGATCTCGACCTACACGTTTGAATCTTCTCACCCAAATATCAGTGTGCTTGAATGCCTTCTCAAACTCACTCACAGCTTTGCCTTCAAATAATGCGCTGAAGATAAGCACTGTTTGCTTCTTCCATTGGTCGATTTATCAAAAGGACCGAAATTTCGTGAGACTCATAAGTCGCATTCTTCGGGCCTTGGGAGCCAAATATGCGCAGTTTTCATTCGGACTACAACTGGCATACTGTTGCATATTCTCCGCGCAGAGTCATGCGTTGTCAGTTGGTACGCTTTTGACTCATTTCTGTCCACCCAGATTCAACTGCAAGAAAACCCCCTTTGTCGTGTTCCACTCCACAGACAAGTCAGGGGTGACTGATAAAGCGCGACACTGGTGATTGTTCGAAGACCAATGTGGCGTGTCCTGAGACCAGCAGAACAAGGGATACAGGCAGCCGCCACTGTTACGCTACAGGTACTACTAGGGAAACAGTTGAGTTAAGCTCATGCTCATATCGTGACAGAATCAGCTTTTTAGAGATCAAAGCAATCTGGTGTTTTTGTCCATGTCCTCATTGACATTCTACTATAGCTATCTCTCTTGGCATGACTACCAAGCCTTAGTGTTTATGTCAGCAACACGAGGCTAGACCTAATACAATGCAAGGGAAGGAAGGGCTCAGGGCTTGACCCTGGGGCTTTCCCGGGTCAGCAGATCAAATTTTTCTGGATCGGTGTGTAGCAAACCAGCCATCAACCATATCCATGATGCAGTCGTTATCCCGTCATGAATGCCTAACAGATTTTTGGGTATGTCATATCTGATCTAACTTACGGTATGACAAACATTTAGTGGATGGCGTCTCATGAAATGTGTCCCAGCTAAACGCCTTGGCAGACTTTCAGTGTTGCTCAATTATTCTTGATTTTATCAGCTTGATGTCCTTTTTTGCAATTCTGAAATTTTGTTTTTTGGAGAGCTGAATATTTTTCGAGGATGTTTCCGACAAAGGGACTCCTGGTACGAGGATCCACCAGAGTTACAAGGACCCAATCGTATCCATGGACTCGTAGAACGCGTCACCCATCAGCCAATCAGCAGCTGCTGAATATTTAATTAGGATTAGTGTATCCGATGGAGTTAGCGGCAGAGGACGGACGAGCGCGACGCGGCCGTTCGTACTTAAGGATTCTAGCACCCCCTCCGATTTCCTCAGTCTCTGTTTCTGGACCTGAGCTGAGCTGCGCGCCGGTCACGCCTTCCCTACCCTTTTTTCTTACCGCCTCGCCTAAACCTGCGTGTCCAAGGTTACTTGTGACCACCCCTGGACATCATCATCATTTATTTTCTTATTTACACGGTCCAACGCGTTTTCGCGTCGCGCTCCCAGATAAGAATCCCAGCCACAGCTACTGCACTTGCCGTTTATTTTTGGTTTTTATTTTTATTTATTATTGTCATTATTATTTCCCCCTTCCCTTTATTATTATTAGCAACAACTCAAACCCCCCAACCAAATTAACTGTATTTCTATCACCATTCACTCCCGATCGCGACTCCACGAGGTCCATTTAATCACCGTGGCCTCAGGCACATGAGTTGGCACGTGCGATCCCCTTAGAGATCACCTGACTTGCCTATTCTTTTTCGACGTCTCCTTTGATTCTTCTTTCCACTTCCGTTTTATCTCGAGATTGCCTCACGCTTAGTCAATCAGGCTTGCCGCCCACGTGACTCTACAGCGTACCGCCTCTTGGCAATATATATTCCACTGCTTCCTGTCGCATTCTCCACTTCCGACCCGCGCTAATACTCATATTTCCTGTATATTCTAACACCGCGGCGTCGCAGCAGTTGTGACTGCTGAGCAACAGTTTTCATCTGTCTTTTGTCACTTAATCAGGGGGTTTTAGTCGACGGTTGACGAATCGATCCATTTAGTCTGTGATAGCGCAGAGAATACCTATTCAGTGCATTTTTGTTGTCGCTTTAAGCTTTCTCGATAACTGATACCGGCTGCTACCTTCATCGCTGCGTGTTAGTACACTGTATTCTGGTCCTCAGTTGGACATTTAAAAATCGACCTCAATGGCGACCCCGCCTCCGGAGGCTACTCCTGTGCTCAAGGAGGAGAAGCCTCAGCTGCCACCGTCGCCAAATGGCATCTCTTCAGTCGATGTTGGTCGCAAAGAGTATGTATACCTCCGACCGACTTTTGGAAATGTGGAGCTAATTGTTGACTGCCTCTTTACAGCGTACAGGGTCTTGTAACTGATTCTAACCCAGACGCGGCCGCTAATGAGAAAAAGGCCGATTCGACCAAACCTGCTTCAGTGAATGGCCATGAGACTACTACCACAAACGGAGTCAATACAACATCCCCTCCGAAGTCACCGACTGCCCTACCCGAGGAACGCAAAGTACCGACCACAGAATCTTCAGCGACAGACGAGATAAAGAAGGAAACAATTGGGAATAGCCCTACCAACTCCAGTGGAAAACCGCCTGCCGATAAGACTAGTGCTGATAATGGTACCCCTCAAAAATCCCAGTCACGCCCGATAGCTTAAAGCCAGCGAAAGAGATGGACGGCAGTATCCAGGCTCAGGGCTCTGCTGCGAAAACCGATCTTCCCCATCATCCTCCAGCTAGTTCAAAGCCTGAAGGTTCTTCGAACAATAATTTAACTACTAAGGCTCCCTCGCTGCCGCCTTTGCAGGGTGTTGATCAGGAAATGCGAGATGCGCCTGATGTGCCGATGTCTCCCACAAAGTTATCTAGGGAACGCGAACCAGACCCAAGAGATGAACCTGCCGCGAAGCGTACCAAGATTGGAGGGGAAGGTTCTGGGCCGTCTGGATTTAAAGCACCCGGGACTCCCGGCCCCGTGGCTGAGCGACGTGCGGATGCGGCAACGAATGGTGATGCGACTATGACCAGGGTTCAGCACAAGTTCCTTCTTAAAGGGATACAAAGCCTGAAGCGTATGCACGACTCACGATTTTATCGGGAGCCAGTTGATCCAGTGAAGATGAATATCCCTCATTATCCGCAGATTATCAGACAGCCCATGGATCTTGGAACCATTGAGAGACGCCTGAAAAACAACGAGTACAAGTCAGTCAAGGCTGTTACTGATGATTTTAACCTCATGGTTCAAAACTCGTTGACGTTCAATGGCCCGGATCATATTGTTGCGCAGGAGGGGCAGAAGCTCAAGTCTACTTTTGAAAAGCAGATGATTAACTGCCCTAGACCTGATGATATCGAAGAGAAGAAACCGAAGAAGTCTTCTCCTAAGACCTCAGCGGCACGACGGGAACCACGAACAAGCATAGGCCAGGCTCCTCCACGCCCAACTGGTGGTTCCCCTCAGGCTACAACATTCGCTTTGGGACCAGAAGGTCTTCCTGTTATTCGTCGCGATTCTACCAATGCTGATGGACGGCCCAAGCGGTCCATCCATCCTCCGAAGCGCGACCTGCCCTACTCGACGAAACCGAAAAAGAAGAAATATCAGTGGGAATTGAAGTTTTGCCAGGAGGTTCTTGATGAGCTGCACAAACCAAAACATTTTAATTATGCGGTCCCTTTCTATCAGCCCGTCGATCCAGTGGCCTTGAATATCCCTACCTACCACAGCATTATCAAAAAACCGATGGATCTCTCAACTATGCAGACAAAACTTAAAACTGGTCAATACGAGAACGCCAAAGAGTTCGAACTGGACATGCGCCTGATTTTCAAGAATTGTTTCAAGTTCAATATCCCAGGAGATCCTACATATCTTGCTGGACAAAAGTTTGAAGAGATATTCAATTCTAAGTGGTCTCAGAAGACACGCTACTTGGAGGCCCATGAACCGCATCCCGAGCACCACAGCGGAAAGTCCGAGTCTGAATCTGACGAAAGCGACGAAGATGCGGACGAAAGCGATAACGACGAAGAACTTCAACGGCTACAGCAGAAGATTGCTGAAATGACACGTCAGGTGGAAGTTCTTGCTCAGAAGAAGAAAAAGAAGACACCACCCGGATCGAAGAAAGCCGGGAAGCTCAAGTCTAGCACGAAGGATATCAAGAAACCTGGAAGCATGAGCCTGGCCAAGAAGGACAAGAAGAGCAGCATAAAGCCATCAAAGCCCGAGAAGCAGCGCTGGGTCACATATCAGGAGAAGCAAATCATATCCAATGGGATCAGTAGCCTTCCCGATAAGAAGATGCAGGAAGCGCTTAAGATCATCCAAAGTAATGTTCCATCTCTCAAGGTACGACCTCGGCCACATCTACTTACTGTCTTGAGCTAAGAAGCCTAACTTTTGCGTCTAGGGCACCCAAGAAACAGAGATTGAACTCGATATTGATGAGCTGCCCAACGATGTATTACTTATGCTGCTCAGATTCGTCAAGAAGAATGCGCCCCAAGTTATGGAAGATGAAGAAGTGGCGACGCCCACTGCTATGAATACTGCTGCTGCCCCTAAGCCAAAGAAGAACAAGCCCATGAGCAAATTCGAACAGGAAGCTCAGATCAACATGCTCGAAAGCAATCTGTCTCGCTTCCAGGGCGGTGGCCGTTCACCAGATCCAGTTCCCTCTGTCGAAGCTAACGAAAGCAGCGACGATTCGGAAGACGACTCGGAAGAGAGCGAGGAGGAGTAAACCTTCGCTGGATGAATTCTAGCTGAATATTTACTTTTCGGAAATCTTCCACTTTGTCTTGTTGATCTACTTTGCTAGTACTCCTGGGCATTCCTATCCTTCATTTTTACGCTATCCATCATTCTAATTAGTTGTTCCCCCATCTTGGTTGTTAACCTGTGTTCCCACGCCAGCCTTTCCTGTTCCTCTTTTCTTTTCCACTATTAGCGATACTGTTGCGTTGGAAGACGGCCTGAACTATTTTTAATCAGGCGCCTGGTATTCTTGTACATAGCCCTTTACTTCTATCGGGTTGAACGTCGCGTCTGAGCTCTTCACTTTCGCTCGCCTGCATCTGGTGGCAAGATCCATAACCCTGTGGTGAACGCACGATATGCTTTTGCTCGTCTTTCATGAGGGCGCTGCCTGCCGACATCGGTTGGACTTGCTCTAAGCATGTTTTGCGCTTGTTCTCTGGTGAAGGCGGAAATGCTTCAGCTGCAAGTCGATGCGCAGTGATAGTTCTCTGAGGAGAGGGTTGTGATGGCACCTAGTGCATGTATGATTACGAAAGAAATGTGAAAACGGAAGCGAAAATCTGAGACTTTGTATTCTTATACATATTTCGAGTAATTCCCTGTAGGCATTGTACTCTACATACCTCCGATGAGTCTCAATATGTTTGTGAGGGTAACTAATGGATCTTCGGATTTATTGATAATACTACTTATCGGTGGGCGGTGACGCAGCACGCCGATTAAATGTTATCCAAATCTAATCTCCAGCTTCACAACCTTGTAGCGACCACATGTTATCTAGAACGCAACAACCGTGGCCATGTTACCTCCTTGCGACCCGGCAATACTTGAGAATAATCCTCAATTTAAGAGACTATACCAGAACTTGACAACAAATTTGCTCAACCCTGATGCTTCGACACGCGCCAACCATGCGCAACCTGCCAGAAAGGCCGTATTGGAAGTACGTGCTCAAACTATCCAAAACTTGGACAATCCCACACTCGGAGGAACACACAAGAAGAATACTAAATTAAGAAAACTTTGCTCCAGGAATTACAAAACTGCCGGACTCGTCATATGAAAAAGCAAATCAAGAAACAAACACTGCGCCAGCTAGCCTTTGATCCCGACTGTGATATATCGGACGATGTGAGCATGGCTCCACAGGCAACCTACATAAACGAGAACAGAAATGACTGACAAGGATGCATGGCTTATCACTAGTACCGCAACACGATTGCAATTATCAGCTTGTATTTGGACTCGTCATCCAATCAGCTCGACCTAGATGGTGACGATGTCGATGGAGCCGATGCGCTATCTCTCTTGGCCCCAGACATTGACAAGTTTTACTCCGATCTTCCTGCGTTGATTAGGCCCTTCTCGAATGCTATTTCGTCTTCTCTGGACGCCCTTCGATTAATCGCTAATGCGGGCGACGCTTCGAATCCTCCGTCTGCGGAGTCATCCCGACCCCGAACTAGGGCTCGTCAGTCAATGATGAGAGCACCCGCTTCTCTCTCCCCACAGCTTGAAGATCGACTGCGTAAATTACGCCAGAAACAGCTATCTGAACTCCCGGCAGCCCGCACACGGATGGCAGCGACAGCGGGGGAAGTCCTGGCGACACGGGCTGCGGTACTGGAGCGTACGGTGGTGTTACTGGAACGCGCCAAACACGGGACACTCGCCCGAGCCACCAAGGCAAAGGCGGAGCATTTAGCTACCGTAGCACGGGGCGTGGAGGGGAAGCTAAGGTATGTCCGACCGTAGTGGCTTTGGTTCAAGTTCAAGGAGGGTATGAAGGTCTGCCGAGACTAATTATACATGATAGGATGACGAAACTGGATATTTGTGCCACGATACACACGCCCGAGACTATTGCTGCCCTCAGCCGATACCGTCAACATCTCCAAGACACCCGAGAGCGGCTGTTAGAGAGAAAGGCGTCAGCTCTGGAGGAACTAAACGCATATGAGGTGGACGACTCGGGGGTAAACGATAGAGCTGTCACCAGAGGACAGTCAGCAACAGGACCTATCAGGGAAATCACCCGACAATACGGGGACTTAATCCGAGAAATTGAAGATGTGAGGTCAGAGATTGAAAGATTATGAATGGGTAGGCATTTCTCGCTCTATTGGTTTTTGTCTTAAGATACCCTTGTTCCAAACGCATCATCGTGCCTTATACTGCTTAATAACCCTGTCCATATTCATCACTTTATACATGTCCTCCAATTGGATGATTCGATTTTGTACCTTTCACCAAAACAACCTTATTGAACCAGCCAATAAACACCACCCCGCATTTTGATCACCTGACCATCCCACCAAAAGTTTTCCGCCGATAAGACTCCATGGAATCTATACACTGATCTTCAAAGTCCCCCAAATCCACAGAATAATCTTTCAGTAACTAGAAATATACCAAAAATGGCCGACGAAGCCCTTTCCATCTACGACGAAATCGAAATCGAAGATATGACCTTCGACCCTGTCCTCCAAATCTACCATTACCCTTGCCCGTGTGGCGACCGATTCGAGATTGCGATCGATGATCTTCGCGATGGAGAGGAAATCGCCGTTTGCCCCAGCTGCAGCTTGATGATTCGGGTTATTTTTGACGTTGTACGTCTTCATTTATCTCTTTCTTATTATCATGTATACATCGGGGTTCTTACTAACATCATGAAGGACGACCTCCCCAAGGACGATCAGCAGCAAGGCCCCAGCACCGTTGCGGTTCAGGCTTAAGCTATCTAAGAGCGAAGTAGGAAAAAAAAACTATAGGGCCTATAAATTGATACCGCCATACGTCGTTATACGTACTGTTCGAGGAATCTCTCGGCTTTTCGTTTGTCGACTTGAAGGAAAAATACAGAAGTTCAGTCTTCGCCACGGGGCCATGCGACATCGCGAGCGCGATGCAGTCGGATGCCCGCCCTCGCGCCGCTGGTAACATTGATCGGAAGATTGAGGTGTCAGTGGGGTCTTGCTGTGCGTGATGTGACGGGGAGTTGATGCGAGACCCGGTTGGGCGTTTTTGTCGAAGAGGCATTGTATCTCTTGACTTTGTGCGGGTAAAACGTGAGAGATGAGGCGCGTTAGAGGGCGTGTGGAGTGAAGCCAATAGTGATCACATCATAATGACGATGCGGTGCTATGGGGCGATGATGGCCTTCTAGAATTGGTCGTCGTGTGTTCAAAATATGGAGAGCAGTGGGATTCCAATACTGAATCTGGGAAAGATAGCTCACTACGAAATTCAAATATGCATATTGTATTATGTCTGCGCAACAAGTATATGGTGTAGTACTCGATGCCGAAATGTTTAATCCACCAAGATTCAGTTATGGGAGCTCTCATATCCTTCAACCACCACAACTCCATGTATTCATGATCCGAGCAACATAGGCGTATCTTCCTATAGCCCAGTCGCATACCACTGCAAGCAGATCACAGTTCCTCAGAGTAGACATCTTTCGGGATATTCAAGGTCAACTCGGTGTTCAACAGGTCCGTCAGATTAGACCCATCCCGGAGATAGATCCACTGCCCACTAGCAAAGGGCCTACTATCCTGCTTCTCGTGCATGTGGTCCCCCTCCACAACCCAGTCGTACCGCTTGGGACCAGAGATAGGGGAGCTGAGCCAGATCTGCTTGTTGGGGGGTTGCTTGTTCAAGACATAGGTGCCGGCACTGGGAAGGATGATGTTCAATACTCCGGCCTACATTCAGGAGAGTGATTAGCAATTCGTATACCGATTGATTTTGTGACGGAAGCAAAGGAGACGAAAAAGCGACAGAGCTAAAGCCCATCCAAGAGGTCCAAAGAGATATTAAGCGACGGAAGATACGCACACTATACTCAGCCTCTATGTCTGCGCCCTCCTCTTGCACCTTCTCTATCTCGCTCTGGAGCACATTGAGATAATGTTCCGCGTATTCATGGTATTCTCCGTCTGTTAATGGCGATGGCTCGGTGACATGGCCGGCGGCGCCGCGACGTTGTTGCTTTGCGGGTTGGGGGCTGGAGGGTCCGCTGAGTCAGGGAAGATGCCCTTACGAGCTGCAGGGGTGCAACGGAAGCCCCGACGAGATGAGCGAGGGGCCAGATTCGCCTGGGGTTGGAAATGAGAAGCTACTGGCGTTGAGATCCGGCCGACGCGGAGGGTCGGGCGGATGGCCGCTGGGAGAGCTCGAGGAAAGCGGGACAGCATAATGGGATGCGTGAGACGCTGACTGGGTGAGACAGTCTTCTAGAGGATTGAGACTAGGTTATCGAAGAGGGACGTTGGGAGGTGCAAGAGTAGAGAAAAGTGGAGGTAAAGGAAATGGATGGCATCATAGCTTATTTGGAGCTTAACTCCATTCGGCGTGGACTTTCTCCGCATTTGATTCCATCACCAATTACAACCATACTATTAGAACAAACTTGTTGCTGCCAACGCCACTTATATCGCATACACTGCATTAGCGTCTGACTCGACGCTTCATCTTTCTTGTCAAGCAGACCACTTTGGGGGTACCGGCGATCTACGGTTGCTATATAGATGATATACCCCCGGCCGTACAGGCCCCTCACCACAACAACCTGGTCATCAACATTCATATTCTTTCGCTCATACCACCCCAAACAGTGGACGACAGTCATGTCCGACGCTAAAAAGAAAGAGAAAAGACCACCCCTAACACACTTTCTCTGCCTCCCTCTCGTCAACTCAAAATCCCTCCCCCAACTGGAATCCTCTCTGGCAGCATTCAAAGCTTCGATTCCACGCCGTGCACTCCGATATGGAGCTCCAGGACAGCCACTCATCCCTGATGGCGCGCTCCGTCCCGTCGGTACCCTGCACCTGACTCTGGGTGTCATGAGCCTCCCAACGAAAGAGCGTCTGAACGAGGCTATCGAGTTCTTCCAATCACTGGACCTAGCCACTCTGGTGCGCGAGGCTGAGAAGATCGCAAGCGCACGCGCGCAAGGGAGGAAGAGAAATGCGCCGTTAGTCTCAGCAGCAGAGCAGTCATCTTTGTCGAGCGCCGGGGAAGTCGCCAAATCGCATGATGAAAGCCCCCCGAGCCCGTTCATTGTCTCTCTTGAATCTTTGCATGCGCTTCCTCGCGCGCGTGCCGCGACGGTCCTACATGCGGCGCCTGTCGATCCTACGGCTCGTTTGTATCCCTTCTGCGTACTGCTGCGGGACAAATTTTTGGAGGCCGGATTTTTGGTGGGTGAACAGAAGAAGGGGAAAGATAACGAGCAGACGAATGATAAGTCTACAGAGGGCGCGGCGGTTGAAGAGCCCTCTCGCCTCGAGGATATGCCAGCCAACATTGCGGAAGAAGCCGCACTTAAATCAGACAAGTCGATAAGCACCGGGCCTGTGTCGAAGAAATCTACAGCGTCAAAACCGAAGATCAGACCCCTTCTTCTGCA